TGGTTGATTATGGGCTCGATCAACCCACATAACCCGATATGCTTGACTATTTTTATGCTTGAGCATTCACTATTTTAATTTTACAAATTAAATTGGATGCTTGAGTAACTTCTTTGGATGCTTGAGTAACTTCTTTGGATGCTTGAATGGTAATGCTAGGTAACTCAAGTGCAATGCATGTAAGTTAGGTTTGTGGTATTGCAACATCTGCTTGAGTAGAGACGTACGTTTTGACTAAATATAGGAGCCATCCAAGAGCATCAGGGCAGTGTCATAAACTATGGTTTTTTACATTTTTTGCAAAAATCACTGGTTTGTTTAGAGATTCATCCAACCCAGACTAATTTTTTTCATTTTTTTGAAAAATTTCACCAAAATACGTATTTTCTACAAACTAACGTATTTTCTACAAACCAAATACGAATCTTCTACTATCTGAAAACTAACCACAATCTAGCACCATCTTGCGCAAAGATCTTGTGGTCAATCCATAAGCAATTGTTTTCATTCAATATCCGGTTTCGCTTTCTAGACTTATACTTTATCAATAAACATGGTGACTCTCAACTTAGCCAAGGCGTCCTACTTCAGTACCTTAACTAGTTAGTATCTTATCTAGTTAACTAGCGTCTTAGCTAGTCTTAAATAGTCTTGAGTAACTTCAATGTTTAAATGGTCTAAATAGTCTTAATTAGCATCTTAATGCAACGGTTTTGAGGCGGAAAAAATGTCACATTGAAAAAAATGTCAAGACGAAACTTAAGCTTTTCTTGTTAGTACAAGGACCTAGATTTGAAGCATACACTACGGAGACGTTATTAGGTGATATAAATACATGGGAAAATAATACTTGAAGAAAGAATACCTTTTAAATCAAGCCAATATGGATGAGGTAAGTGACAGTCATGTGGGAAACAGCTCAGGAACGTATTTGCATAATAGAGTTCACGAAACGGGGAAGACTGAATCTATTAGAGATACATCGATTGAAATACCAAATGGTCGAATGAATAAAGTTAATGAAAAGAGGAAGGAAGTCTTCAATAAGACAGTAAAGGTTTTAAAACAGTTTTTCGCTCAGTATGGATCATCATTAATGGTTAGTGTTGCCTATATGGATCCTGGTAATTATGCTACTGGTATTACGGCAGGAGCATCAAATAAATTTAGTCTTCTTTTCATTGTGTTTATTTCGAATGTTATTGCCATTTTTTTACAAAGTTTATGTATTAAATTAGGTACAGTTACTGGGTATGATTTAGCTCGTTGTCTGAGAGAATACTTCCCTAGATGGTTAAATATTATATTATGGTTCTTAGCAGAATGTGCTATTATTGCTACGGATGTTGCAGAAGTTATTGGCTCTGCCATTGCTTTGAATGTTTTATTAAAAATCCCTTTACCTGCTGGGGTTGCAATTACTATTGTTGATGTTTTATTTGTTTTAATGGCTTATAGAAATGATACTTCTCTGACTAGATTAATAAGAATTTTTGAATATATTGTTGGTGCTTTGGTATTAGCAGTAACAATTTGTTTTGCAGTTGAATTATCGGCAATTCCTGGGGATTCAAATACTATTAGAGAAGTTTTCCTTGGATTTTTACCAAATGATCAAATGTTCAAAGGTAAAGGTATGACCATTGCTACTTCAATTATTGGTTCCACTGTTATGATCCATTCATTATTTTTAGGGAGTGGATTGGTTCAACCTCGTTTAAGAGAATATGATGTTACTCATGGATTAATCAAATTAAATGATATTGTTGATAAATATGATGATGAAAAAAAAGATTCGAATGAAAAAGAAGCTGATTTTTTTTATAAACATTATAAACCATCATATCAATCAATTAATCATTTACTTAAATATTCAATTGCTGAATTAGTTATTACCTTATTTACTTTTGCTCTTTTCGTTAATTCAGCAATTTTAATTGTAGCTGGTGCTACTTTATATGGAACTGAAGAAGCAATTGATGCTGATTTATATACTATTCATGATTTACTTTCAAGAAATTTAGCTCCGGCAATTGGTACTGTTTTCATGTTGGCTTTATTATTTAGTGGTCAAAGTGCTGGTATTGTTTGTACGATTGCTGGTCAAATGGTTAGTGAAGGTCATATTAATTGGACTTTAAAACCTTGGATTCGTCGTTTAGTAACTCGAGGTATTTCCATCGTTCCTTGTTTGGTTATTTCGCTTTGTATTGGTCGTGGTGGGTTAAATGCTGCTTTGAATATTTCTCAAGTGGTTATTTCAATCTTATTACCTCCTTTAACCCTTCCTCTTATCTACTTCACTTGTAAGAAATCAATCATGAGAATTGAAATCCCTCAAGAATTACAACCAGAAAGAGAAGCTGAAGATTCAGATGGTGCTGAGGGTAAAAAATACAAATACATGCATAACAATTGGCTCACTAGTATCTTGGTTATAGTAATCTGGTTATTTGTATCAGTATTAAATGTCTATGCAATTGTTCAAATGGCAATGGATGGGGTTGATTAATTTGCAGCATCCAATCCCCTATTAGTCAAGTTGCAAAACTCAAATATATGTATATTACAAAACTATACAAAACTAAACAAAACTACTATTGCAACATTGCTTATTTGTAGCCTGCCCAACCAGATCAATACATATGTCCACAAATACTATAACTGGCCATCCCTTCGTCTAATTGCCGTTTTGTTCAATTTGTCCTGCCGGCACTACTAATTTCACGAACACTCACCCTTACAACGGGAACCAGTCGGCTCTTCTTGAGACTCACCAACCCCTTAGTTTCATTAGAAATCATGGAGCCATTGCAAGTAGTAGTACCAATCGATTAATGTCTATATAATTTGTGTATCAGTAATACAATAAGCTAATTGTTAAAGGGAGAGCGTGTGGAACAACAAAAAATTGGGAAAAACCCTAAAAATCTCATTGAAATTTAAAGCAAATGGAGATTATTACTCTTTTCCTCTTCCCATCAGTCAATTGCAGTGATATTCCAATCAATTCAATCAATTGTCTATAGTACCAGTCTTTATAACTCAAAGAAGTATCAGAAGCATTGATTATCTTCTAGTTTTCCGTATTCCTTAAACTCCATATTCGTTGTTTTTTTTTTGTTCCTTTCCTTTTTTTTTTTGTATCTCATTATCCTTGTTATCGAAGAATACAAATTCATATAAAAACAATCGATAACTTATTTGGATCTCCGAGATTAATCTTAAGTTTGTTTCATTGATTTTGTTTATTGAAATAGCTCATTTGTTTATCAGGTTTACTTAAAGCTTCGATTGAACCCTTTTTTTTCTTCGTTTTTTTGTTCCCTTTAGAATTTTTTTCTTCATTGCTATTTTCCAGTTGATACGAAGTTTAAAGATTCTCTCTCCCTAATAACTTCTTTTGCGTACATCAACACTGCATCTCGAAATTAAACTTTTTGTTGTCCTTTTGGTATTCGCAACGCTATTCAATTAAAGAAGTTTATTTGCTCCGACAAATTTTTCGTGTTTCTTCGGGCATTCGTTTAATTAAGCTCCATTAAGAGATTAATTACTCATTGGAATTTTAGCTAACATAGCCAATTCACCGTTATCTTCTTTGTGGTTTGCGTTGCTTTGTTACTTACATTTTATGTATAACTCTTGAAAATTTTGAATTTTTGAATATTTGAATTTTTTTTTTCTATTACAAAAGGAAAAAAAAAAAAAAAAAATAAATAAATAGAATAGAACCTTGGATTCCTCCTTTGCATTTAAATGCCTTCAAACATATTGAAAAAACTTCATATCACTAGGCTGAATAATTCAGATTCCAATTCCAATTCCAATTCAAATAGTGCTGAAATTTCCGTTAATTCCTCAAATAATATCGAATCAATGAATTATTACCCAGATCAATCTTTCCAGCAGTCTCAGCATCAGCAAGTTCCAACTTCTCAACAACAAGAACAAGCTCATCACGATCAACAAGTACACCAACATAACCAACAAATACACCAACAACTACAACAACAACAGCAACAACAGCAACTATCTCAACATCCTGCAATTACTGAACAACAGCAACAACAAATTAGGATTCAACAACAACGTACTAATGATGCAATCCAACGTTCTCTTTTACCTGAGCGTTCTACCATTTCAAAAGGTAAATATTCTTTAACTGATTTTCATATCATGAGAACTTTGGGTACTGGTTCATTTGGTCGTGTTCATTTGGTTCGTTCAGTTCATAATGGTCGTTATTATGCTATTAAAGTTTTGAAAAAACATCAAGTTGTTAAAATGAAACAAGTTGAACATACTAATGATGAACGTAGAATGTTAAAATTAGTTGAACACCCATTTTTAATTCGTATGTGGGGGACTTTCCAAGATCTGAAAAATTTATTTATGGTTATGGATTATATTGAAGGTGGTGAATTATTTTCTCTTTTAAGAAAATCTCAACGCTTCCCAAACCCAGTGGCTAAATTTTATGCTGCCGAAGTTGTTTTAGCTTTAGAATATTTACATAGCCATGATATTATTTATCGTGATTTGAAACCTGAAAATATATTACTAGATCGTAATGGTCATATAAAAATAACTGATTTTGGTTTTGCTAAAGAAGTTTCAACTGTTACTTGGACTTTATGTGGTACACCTGATTATATTGCTCCTGAAGTTATTACTACCAAGCCTTATAATAAATCAGTTGATTGGTGGTCTTTAGGGGTCTTAATTTATGAAATGTTGGCTGGATATACCCCATTTTATGATTCAACTCCAATGAAAACTTATGAAAAAATTTTATCTGGTAAAATTCATTTCCCAAGTTTTATGGGTCCCGATGTTATTGATTTATTATCAAGATTAATAACTGCTGATTTAACTAGTAGGTTAGGTAATTTATTAAATGGTCCTGCTGACATTAGAAACCATTCTTGGTTTTCAGAAGTCGTTTGGGAAAAATTGTTAGCTAAAGATATTGAAACTCCTTACGAACCTCCAATTACTGCTGGTGTTGGTGATTCATCATTGTTTGACCATTATCCTGAAGAACATTTAGACTATGGTTCGATTGGAGAAGACCCTTACTCTCAATACTTCAACGATTTCTAATCTAATATCAGAAAGAAAAAAAAAAACAAACCTCCCCATCCAAAAAAAAAAACAAAAAAAATCCATCACCAGGTCTTGCTTTTTCCCATTGAGGTTCAGCCTTAATTAGCCTTATTTCCCTTTTGTTTTAGTATGTCTAAATTATTCACTTCGAAAATCTTTTGATCTCTAGTATTTTTGCTTTTCTTGTTATCTGTTTGATTTCGATCTTTACCTGTTTCTATTACCTTATTCATGTCCTAGTTTCCCCAGTTGAATGATTTTTGTTTTCGAGAACTTTTCTTTTATTTAAATTTATATACAACGTATATATGTAAACGTTTATTTCCCATTTTGTTATTTCTAGTTTCTTAATACACTATTTTATTTACATGGTCTTTTTAATGGAATTTTATTTTATTATTAAGTTATAAAAGTAAAATCTAACGATAATTGGAAGAACTGAACATAACTAATTGAAAATATAACCCTTTCAATTATTTAATGTTAACTATAGTACAAGGTTTTCTATAAGTAATTTGATATTCTCAAGAGTTTCTTCACACCCTAAACACATTCTTACATTCCAAACACACATAGAATAAAATCATACTAGTATCTTTTCTTCTCTGTTGAGATTGGAAAAAAACACAGTCTTTATTCCCACAAGTTGGACATTCTTTATCCGATCTTGGTAAAGTTGGGTCTGATCCAATATCTTGCACAACACCAGCAGTTTCACCAATATTTGTTATCAATTCATGTCTGTAAACTTTAGGGTTTTCAGCCAATTCTGTATAATCACAATTACGACATGAATATAATAATCTGGCATTATCCTTATCCTCTCGAGGATACAACATATTATTGCATTCAGCACAGAATCTGAAAGAAGCCATATCTACTCTATTCTTGAGTCCTCAATCAAAAAACAAAAAAACAAAGAAAGGGAAGTAAATTTCAATATCTCTAAATAAGGCCTTTTCACAGTTAGTCAACCTCAGCCAGCTCGTGTAGATGAATTCGAAGAATTAACGGTACTTGTTGTTTTAGCTATTCAATTTTTTTTTTTTCATTTCCAGTTTGTTTTAAATGTACGGAGGTTTATTAAAGTCGTGCGAATGAAAAGTTGGAAAATTTTCATTTTTTTTTTTTTTTGGTTCTTTGGTCAAAAGTTGATCAACATCGAGTCCAATCAATTTCTTTATATTCTTAAGCTTTTATACCTTCATCATAGTCAGTAAATATAATGTCTTTGTTACGTCAAGCCGTTAGACCTTCATTGAGATTGGCCACCAGAAGAATCGCTCCAGTAGCTGTTCGTTTCAACTCATCAGCACCAGCTGCTGAAAAAGCACCAGTTGATCCAAAAATTTCTGCCATCGTTGATCAAATTTCTACTTTAACTTTATTGGAAACTTCTACTTTAGTTTCTGAATTGAAAGAAAGATTGAATATTCCAGACATCTCATTCCCAGCAGCTGGTGCTGCTCCAGCTGCTCCAGCTGCTCCAGTGGAAGAAGAAGTGAAAGAAGTTGTTGAAGAAAAAACCATCTTTTCTATTAAATTAGAATCTTTTGATGCCAAATCTAAACCAAAGATTATCAAAGAAGTCAAAGGTTTATTAGGTTTATCTTTAGTTGATTCCAAAAAATTCGTTGAAGCTGCTCCAAAAGTTTTGAAAGATAATGTTGCTAAAGAAGATGCTGATAAGATTAAAGCCACTTTAGAAGGTTTAGGAGCTAAAATTGTTTTGGAATAAGCAAGTTGTTATTAATTTAACTATTCAATCGGAGTAATATAAAAAGTTTTTTTAAAAAAAGAAAAAAAAGAATCATAAATATATAACAATAGATGAATTTAATGAATTTCAACTCATAAACAATTTCAACGTCAAAGAATTAAAGGTTTTAGAATTATCTTTTCATTTTTTGATGTTTTTTTCCTTTCTTCCATGATACATTATAATCATAGTTATATGATCAAAGTCCTGTATATATAAATCAATCTTATATTAATTTTTTGTTTATATAATTCTGTAGTAAAATATGCTTTCTATGACTCTTGAAGTATAATAGCTTAAAATACAATCATAGTAAAATTTAAATATGAGGTTAAGAAAAGTGGTTTAAAAAATCTCGTTTTTATCATATATAGTACTATTTCGTCTACTCGCCAAAGCTGACAAGAAAGAAGCTCTTTTCGGGGCAGAATCATCTTGAGATGTCGAATTAGTATTGAAGCTCGTGTCAGATGTAACATACATTGATTGTGGACGGCGCCTAGCTGGTACTCTTCTAACTCGGGAGTTATTCCCAATTTGGGAGTCGAGATTACTTACTCCCATATTATTAGCTGGTGGAATACCCTCAGTAAATACACTGGATCTCATTGGCGTATTGTAGTTATTAAGTGGGATATTCTGATGAAGAGGAGTGTGTGATTTATTAGAAGCACTTATTTTATTATTATTCATTTCATTGACATTATAGGATTGTGTTGGATATTTTGAACCCATGTAGTATAATTGTTTATTATTGTGATGAGGTTCGTCAATACCATCTTTATGATCATGACTTTGGCTTTCTTCATCATCAAATTCACTATTTTCCTCATCTTCATTAAGCCTATTAGGGGGAGGAGGAGGTAACGTAAAATTAGTTGAATCTTTTGAAAAATCTCTACTTGAAGGTCTTTCATTCCACAAAGGTCCTGGGATCTGGGAAGGTTTATTGTTATCTCTAATGTTAAGTTTATTAGTATTATTAATAAGATCATCCTCATTATAAGATACAAGGGACGAAGATGAGTTTGTAATATGATTTTGTAGAATACCCAATCTACCACTACGATTTAGTTGAATATTCCCAGTACTAAATCTATTTGGATGAGTGCTTATTGGATGCTTTGAAGATGAATAAGTTGGTTGATGCTCTTGAGGATATTGATTATCTTGGGGTTGGGAATATTGATTATCTTGGGGTTGGGAATATTGATTATCTTGTTGTTGAGAAAACTTTTGGTGTAACCTAGAGGTAACATAACTTGGTGAATTGACTCTATTATTTGAAAGAAAGTTTTGTTGACACAACTGGCGACGTAAATGATCATTATTTTCTTGACCAGGAACAAATTGACTAGCGTTAGACATTTCACTATTAAACCTAGTATCATTGACCAAGTTGCATAAATTTTCAACCAAAACTTGTAATTTAGTATATATATGACTGGGGATATCATTATTGGTAAATTGTATTGCTAGAGCTTGGGTCAAATTATTTGTAGCCATGAGTATTTCATTAAGACTTGTCTTTTGAGTTTGAGTTAAATAACCTGATGTTATAACTCCATCATTCAATTCAGATAATCCTTTTAAAACTAATTTATAATTAGGTTCAGATTGTTGCAAATTTTTACCTTGTTGCAATCTACTCAATAATGCTTTAGCCTGTCCCAGGGCATTTGTCATCTGAATATTCGAGAACGTTGATGACCCAATTCTTTCATTTGACGATGGCCCACCATCATGAATCCGATTACTATTATTATCCATACTTAAATAATTGAATTCTTATAGCCTTATTTCAATCCTAAGTTAACTAATAATCTTTGTTTATGTATATTGATCCAAGGGGTTAGAGCTTCTGCAAATACTAAGGCTTTATTTATTTTGTTTTTTCGATTCTCTATTTGACACTATTCAACCCGGTTAAGAATATGTAAACATAGATCAAAACGCTTCACCTCTGCTAATATCAAGTTAACAGCCACTATAACTTAGTAAAGAGAAAAATTGCAATACTCAAAAAAGAACCAGAAAGAAACCTTTCACCAGCAACTTCGACCGAATTATCAAGGATTAATGACGTTTCTATGTTGTCCCATTGAAAATCTAAACCCATTCTTAATCGTCAAGCCGTTTTTATCAAACTTTTTTTTGTTTGGTTCCTTTTGTGTGTGTATAGGGTTTGGAAAGACAAAGACCCACACACCAACTGGAGAACATCAAAAAAAATTAACTTACAAGAGAAGAAAGGATTGTTATCCAAGAGGTATAAGCCCATAACTAATTCGTTTAGTCCGAGCATAAGCTGATAGATAAGTGAGCTCAATAGAGAAACTGATTCATAATTGAGTTGTTTTGGAGTTGTTGGAATGAAGTTTTGCTAGAAAGAAAGAAACAACATAATATCCAAATCACGTCGGTTCAATACATACATATATGTGTTATGTTTTCACTAAAGGGCCTAGGGCTTGAAAGCAAACGTTTTGCGGAGAAGGAACAGATTAAACCATGGCTTCTGGAGATATTATTGCAGAACAAAAACATAAATATTGTGATTGAGAGGTCTGATAAAAATAAAATAATCTTTAAATGTAAATCTCCTAATGGAAACCGAAGGGAATCTGAAGATGGTCGGCGTGTTAAGATGGGATCCAGACGGTTGAATACCTGTCCTTTCAAGTTGAGGGCTAATTACTCAATCAGAAATAAAGAGTGGACTATACTGGTTGTTAACGATCAGCACGATCACTCTCTTGATTCTTCTTATGAAGAGACTAACTTGGATTCGAAATCGTCAAAAGTTGCATTATCCCGGAAGAAGAAACTGATCTCACTGAAAAACAGTTCCATGTCATCAAATCAGGAAGATGAAAGATCTAGTAGACAAACTTTCACTCCGAATATTCAGTTGGATGATTCTGCGTTTAGTAATGCCATTGATAATTCAATGTCTAATAACACACCAAGTTATAAGAACAGTTCTTCGGCTGACGTTTTCAGTACGTTTATCCCACCTTCCAATATGTCCGCATCGGAAATAATGAAGAATGATACGGACGAACTCAGTAAAGCCACTGGGTTATCAAATACCACTGTCACTGATCAACAGAGCAAAGAGCAAAACCGTGAACATGGTAAGATATTGAACGGTAATAATTTTGAGTCATTCCATTCTAAACCTAAAATCTCAAAAGCGAAGCAGAATTATAGATCCAGAAGTAGCACTGTCTTGAGTCTTCCGGAAAGAGTTGCCTTACAATTAGAAAATGAGGTAAATCAGCTTATCGGAAGTCGGGTTTTCAATAATACCAAATTAACAACTATTGACAAAACAAAGATCATTACTCAATTAGTTGATCATTTACTGAATCACAATAAAGACCAGGGTGACTACACACTACAAAATGAGAGCCAAATGGGCAAGCCTTATACAGAGGATCCACAGGAAGGTTCATACCTCGGTGAGCAAAACGTATCTAATGATCTGATTGATGTGAATAATTTAGGCAGTGAAGACATTGCAACCTCGATGGATACTAGAGACATTTCAGAACATCAAAATATTCCCTTGCATTCCAATCCACCAATTACTAATCCACAAAGTGAAATCAGGAAACAAAATCATACTCATCAAGCAATCGGCCAACAAGTTCAACATTCTAAGGAGAACCACTCGGAAGGGAACCAAGATCAAGGTAAGAACAAGCAACAGCCTTTTGATAGAAATGAGCATGATCAAAACCAAGCCCATGATCACCAACAAGATCAACAGAATCAACAATCTCAAAAATCTGCACTCACAAACTGGCTAACAAACACTTCCTATTCAACACAGAATAATCTAGCAGCCAATGCCAACGCCAATTTGATTCCATTGTCGCCCTTATTAAATGATAAAGACACCGACTATAATCCAGCATCTAGTAACCCCGTCACTAGTCAACATGCAGAAAACTCAATGGACACTTTCGGCCCTCTTCCGGGCTTAAGCATGAATACTGGAACTAGCAGCTTTGGCAATAATAACAGTAACTCAACTTTTAATACCACCACTTCGACAGGGTTGATTGGAAATGCTTCCAATAACTCTTATAACTCCATGAATTTCATGATTCCTTCTCAAAACATTCAAATGCTGCAAATTAACCATCAAACTCAACAATTGCCATCTTTCAATTCGATCCAAAATCAATTACCACTTTCACCCAACTCTTTATCCAACAATTCGACTCCCTCTTTATTTAGTACCAGTATGGGGTCTTCAGCCCTAATCCCCCCTTCAAACACAAACTTCAACACCACCCTCAACCCTTCACATTTATTAAAATCCTCAAACTCTAAAAATCACACATTACCCATGTCGAATAACCAACCTCTCTCAGGAGCAATGGTGAATCTCAACGAGTTTAAACTCACCAGTAATCCGTCTAACCATGTTTCTAACTTAAACTAAGTCACTGCTTGGCACACAGCAGTTATATATGTCCTTTCACTTCTTCCAACACATTTTTCGCCACCTTCTTCTTTCATTTTCAATTCTTGGGTCTTTTCTTTCTTCATTTGTATAGTATTAAACGACCATTTTGCGGCCAAAATAGGCTTCCAAAAAAAAAAAAAAACACAACTGTACGGGTTTTATATACAAACGAGTGGCCAAATTAAAAAAAAAAGCTGGTAAAGAAGGCTAGTAGAGAAACAACTTTCAATTAATAAGTGATTTTGACCATGTCAATTGATATAAGACCATTTGAAAGAGTTGTGGAACATAAAACAACCGATATTGAAGGGTCTACTTTAATTATCCCGTCGATTTCAATTGGGAATGTTCCTCAATTAGCAATAGATCTCTTGATTCACACTTATAATTTCGTTAAGATTGGAAACTTGGATAGTATCTACCTTTATCCATTTTCATCACCAATTGATACAGCCCCGGATCCGGAAATAGTGGAAAGAACTAAGGGGGTATCAAGTGCACTTGAAGTTTACTATAATGACAAGTTAAAGGTTAGTATCATTCAACAAAGATCTCCAATTCTTCCAAGCTTTACTTCTACGTACATCAATGAAGTTATAATACCATTTTTGGCTGGGGGGAAATTTTCAGAAGTATTGATACTAGATTCTTCCGATGCTGGATTACTTGAAGATTTCCAGCCGGGCAAAATTCAAGTATATACAAACGAAGATTTATTGAATAATTCCTTAGGTTCCTTGAACATTCTGAAAAAAGATGCTATACAATTATCATCAAAATATCCGTACGACCACTCAGTCTACGCTGGTCTTTTGATCAAGGCCTTGGATGAATTAAATTTGAAATCTGAATCGAGCATCGATCTTAATGTATTGGTTGCGTACGTATACGAGGGAGATAATTTCCAGGACGGGGAGATCTTAGCCAATAAAGTAAATAGTATATTAGATCTTGAGCAAATAACGTCCTGGATTAAACCACTTAGTTGGTTAGGTGCTTATGGGGATAAACCGGTTCCAAATGCAATGGAAGAAGGGTTATTTGGTTAGGGTCAGAGAAAAGTATCATTTATTTCTAATTACACGCAAGAGATATTAATGTTTTTGTTTTTGTATCTAATAGTTTAATGCATATTCGATAGAAGCAGTATATCCGTAGACACCAAGCCCTGCAATTACTGCAATGGCCTTATCAGATAAATAAGAATGGTGTCTAAATGGTTCTCGTTGATGCACGTTGGTGATATGAATTTCAATAAAAGGAATGGCAGTACCTAAAAGAGCGTCTCTAAGGGCAATGGATGTATGTGTATAGGCACCAGCGTTGATGACAATAAAGTCAACTCCTTCTTGTTGTGCTTGATGGATGCGATCAACGATGAACCCTTCGGTATTATTTTGGAAAGTATGTATTTCAGATCCGTTCTTTCTAGCAGCAACCTGTTTTCTAGCCGCATCTTCGACATCTGCTAATGATGTAGATCCATATTTCTCCGGTTCTCTAGAACTTGAAGTTAGTAAAGGCAAACGTCAAAATCTTATCTATCAAACATACCTAGTTCCTAAAAACAGTTAGTAAAAATTTTTGCAGCATCATCAAAGCTATCGCATACCTAACAAGTTCAAGTTTGGACCGTTTATTAAAAGGATTTTCTTAGTCATCATTACAAGTTGCAAATTTCAACAATCACCTTCTATCGCTAGTTTAGACTATCCAAAAATTTTTTTCGGATCTTCTCTCTCTCTTTTTTTTTTCTGTCTTGTGACCTTTAGCCATCTTTCACAATTATCAAGTAATACACAGCTTCACCAGCTTCATTAGGTAAGATTAGAAATCATGAGTAGGATAATGGGGTTCAGGTACTCAGGCCGTTATTACAACAAAGTTTGTAATGGCTTAGTAATGAAATTACACCCGTAGTGGGCTCTTACTTAATCTCGCAAAAAATTATGAGACGGAGAAAAGCAAAGCCCACAGTTATAAGGCTATATAAAGAGCTTAGTGCATCTCCTTGTACCTCGGTGTATGATAAGATCAGCATATCCTAAGACCGTGATTCAACATGTCCGTTCATCCCGATTTGAAAGTTGTTGAAAGTCAAAGACCACCGTTCCACGACGACGAATTCAAGTTTACCCAAACCCGCAAAACCGACTGGACGCCTGGATCAGGAGCCAACGACGACCAGTGGAAGTCACACAAGAAGCTAGAAATCAATCCATATGAGGAAGGAAGATCTCCTATCGATAACTATAAGACCACCATCTCTGGTATACTTCCGCGTCCAATTGGGTTTATTTCCACAGTTAGCAAGGACGGGGAGCACCGCAACTTGGCACCATTTCTGTTTTTCAATGGAGTCAATGTTGATCCTCCTATCTATACCATTGGGATCTCAGGTAACACCAAGGATACTGCCATCAACATCTTGGAAACCAAAGAATTGACCATCAATATTATTTCCGAGTGGTTTATCGAAGCAGCTAATTTCACCAGTATCGATGCTCCCAAGGGGATTGACGAATGGAAATTGTCTGGATTGACTCCAGCAGAGTCCACCTTTGTCAAGCCAAGCCATGTTGCCGAGTCTGCTTTTTCAATTGAGGCAAAATTGATTCACTCTCATGACTGGAGATCAAAGACCGATCCTTCCAAAGTAACTGGCCAATTGTTCATTGTTGAGGGACTCAACTTCCACATCAGAGAAGATGTAATCAACAAGGAGAAAAACGTGATTGATATCAAGAAGTTGAAACCAGTCACTAGACTTGGAGGAATAAGTTACGGTAGAATTCTTGAGGGTTTTGAATTACCAAGACCCGAATATAAAAAGGATATCTTAGACCACGAGGAATACCGAAACTTGACCAAGTAGCCTGTGTTACCCAGTATTAGATTATGCCTACTATTAGATTATGCCTACTATTAGATTATGCCTACTATTAGATTATACCTATCATATTATACCTAGATACTAAATTATGCCCACTATTAGATTATACCTATCATATTATATAGATACTAAATTATACCTACGATTATGCCATAGATAGTGTAGTACAAATATTTAATTGCAAAATTAGAGAAGACCTGCACACAAAAAGCCGGTAGTGAAAAAAAAAAAAATCCATCATCTCATCAAAGACTTGAAAAAAAAAAACGTTATATCAGGGAACTCTTTATACTTGGATAGAGGTCTTTAGGATAAAAGCATATAGACAATGTCAGTGGTTGGTTCTTTAATATTCTGTACTGATTGTGGTAACTTGTTGGACACCATATCATCTAAGTCCACTTTGGACTGTAAGTTATGCTATAAAGAGTATCCTGCTTCGAATTTTGCTGATTTAAAAGTTGTTACTAAATCAGCTGAAGATGCATTCCCATCTACATTAAGAATGAAGAGATCGGTGGTTAAGACGTCTCTTAAGAACGACGAGTTAACTGAGGGGGCCACTATTCAAGAAAAATGTCCAAAATGTGATAACGAAGAAATGCAATATCATACATTACAATTAAGATCTGCTGATGAAGGGGCTACTGTCTTCTATACTTGTACTTCATGTGGATATCGTTTCAGAACCAATAATTAGATTTATTGGAAAATCATTTGTCATTTCATTTCATTGTATAATAGTTTTATAATAGTAATAAACATCTACATTTAATAAATTATAAACATAGGAACATTAAATTAAAAAGTGATAATCTACAAAAGAAGAAAGACAAACGGAAAAAAGAAAAACGCCTAATTAGTTTTGATTGTAGCGTATTCTAATTCGGTAGAATTTTCATATTCGTACATATCCAAGGCAACAAGAGCAGAATCTCTGACTACTTTTTCTTCATCATTTAAGAAAGATTGTAAAACAGGTAAACATTCTTCAGTGGCAATAGAACCCAATGCTTCAGCAGCTTCGTGTCTAACCATACCTGCTTCACTTTCATTTTTCAAACATTTGATTAAAGCTGGGACAGTAACTGGATTACATAATTGACCGAAAACATAAGCAATTTCATGTCTGAATAAAGCTGATTTTTCATCGAATAAACCAGTGGCTAAGGCAAGACATGCTTCATCAGTACCTAAATCTCTTAATCTAAACATGGCTCTATATCTTTCAAATAAAGGTTTTTCTTGATCATTTAAAATTTTTTGTAATTTTTCAACTTTTGATTCAGTATCAGTTGGCAATGGTGGTGCAGGATCAATAGAAGTGTATAATGATTTTTCCAAATTTTCTGACTTTGATTTTTCAGAAGTTTCCCAATTAATTCTATCAATGGCCAATTCACACGTTTGTCTAATTTCCAAAGATGGATCATTTTGATAGTATTCTTTTAATAAGTCCAAAGAATCAGAATCTCCTAATGCACCCAATGCTTCTGCTGCTTCATGTCTAACCATAATTTGTTGTTCTTTACTTATAAGACAATCTCTTAAATGTTTTGATGCATATAAGTTCTTGGTTTGACCTAAAACGTAAGCGACTTCGTGTTTTAACAACTCAGAGTCATCTCCAAAAGCGGCTGCAATGAAATCAATAGCTTTCTTAACTTCTTCTTCATTTTCAGAATCAGCTCCAATACATTTCAAGTTAAATAATGCTCTAAATCTATTAGCCAACTTAACATTACCAGACTTGTTAATAAGAACATCTCTTAATTCTTCAAGACTGGCATTATCAACATTAATTTCGTCAGACATGGTATACAAAGGTTTCCTTGGATATATAAAATAATGAATAAGAAGAAGAGGCTACGCTTAAATAAACTTGAAAAAAAAAAAATTAAAATTTCTGCATGCCGAAAAAAACAGTCGGCTTCTCCATATAAACTGAGGTTACAAAGGTGATGACTTGGACATTCCAAAACCAGATTCTCCAAAGTGTCTGGTGATACCATTCAGACACTTGATCTGTGGCACCACAAGTATAACGATATACCCCCATATAATACCGTACTACTTCTAGAGTCGTTCTGCAATAAGCTCATCTCATCGCAGAGCACCTGAGCTAGTTTTTTCTGGCATTGGCCGGTGTTCGCATATTGTCTCTTCCCACTGGAAATTTGTATACGATAAGTCTTATCGATTTCTACGCAAGTCGCCATTGCTGTAGGGCACCGGCCTCTAGTTAGACATCATTCAGAAACGTTTAGCAGCTAAAAGAGATGGGAAGGGGGCACGGGTGTAATCTGGAGATATTTTTTCTTTTTTCGAAAAAAAAAAAAGAATGTACGGAGGTTTTGTCCGATTACATAATCCAATTTTTTTTGTTCGAAATCAACGACCAAAAAAAAAATATGAAAAAAAAAAAACCGTGTATAGATGGCGATTCGGAGGATCATAGTTTTTGATATTAATAAAGCATATTGAACCAGAATAGAGAAGATGTCAGCACCTGGGATGCCTGATATGTCGAATGCCATTGTGGCACAAGATGAAATGGGACGTCCATTCATTATTGTCAGAGATCAAGGTAAAAAACAAAGAAAACATGGTATTGAAGCTACTAAATCACATATATTGGCAGCAAGATCGGTTGCATCTATAGTTAAAACATCATTAGGACCAAGAGGGTTGGATAAGATTTTGATTAGTCAAGATGGAGATATTACTATAACCAATGACGGTGCTACAATTTTATCACAAATGGATTTAGATAATGAAATTGCTAAGTTATTAGTTGAATTATCAAGATCACAAGATGATGAAATTGGTGATGGTACCACTGGGGTTGTTGTTTTAGCTGGTGCTTTATTGGATCAAGCTTTGGAATTAATAGAAAGAGGTATTCATCCAATTAAAATTGCCAATGGGTTTGATGAAGCATGTAAGATTGCTTGTCAACAATTAGATTTAATTGCAGACGATATTAATATTAGTAATGAATCGAATGATTCTAATTTATTAAAAGCAGCCAAAACTTCATTAGGATCTAAAATTGTTAGTAAATCTCATGATCATTTTGCTCAAATGGCCGTTGATTCAGTTTTAGCAGTTGCCGATTTTGAAAGAAAAGATGTTGATTTCGAATTAATCAAAATGGAGAAAAAAGTAGGTGGTTCAATTGAAGATTCAAATCTAATTAAAGGGGTTTTATTAGATAAAGATTTTTCTCATCCTCAAATGCCAAAAGAAATCAAAGATTGCAAAATTGCTATTTTAACTTGTCCATTTGAACCTCCAAAACCAAAAACTAAACATAAATTAGATATTTCTTCCGCTGAAGAATTTAAAGTCTTACAAGAATATGAACAGAAAAAATTCCAAGAAATGATTGATTGTGTTAAAGCTTCTGGTGCCAATGTTGTTGCTTGTCAATGGGGGTTTGATGATGAAGCTAATCATCTTTTGTTAGCCAATAATTTAAATGCTATTAGATGGATTGGTGGTTCAGAATTGGAATTATTAGCAATCGCTACCAATGGTCGTATTGTTCCTCGTTTTGAAGACTTAACTCCTGAAAAATTAGGTCATGCTGGTACTATTAGAGAATTAGAATTTGGTACTACTAGAGATCGTATGTTGGTTATTGAAGATTGTTCAAATACTAAAGCTGTTACTTGTTTTGTTAGAGGTTCTAATGAAATGATTGCTGCTGAAGGTATTAGAGCTTTACATGATTCTATTTGTGTTGTTCGTAATTTAATTAGAGATAGTAGAGTTGTTTATGGTGGTGGTGCTGCTGAATTAACCTGCTCTTTAGCCGTGAGTGATGCTGCCGATAAACAAACTGGTATTGATCAATACGCTTTTAGAGCTTTCTCTCAAGCTTTAGATACTATCCCAATGACTTTAGCTGAAAATTCTGGTTTAGACCCAATTGAAACTTTATCAAACTTAAAATCAAAACAAGTTAACGAAAAATCCTCCAACTTAGGTGTGGATTGTTTAGGTAAAGGTACTAATGACATGAAAGAATTGTTCGTTATTGATCCATTGATTGGTAAAAAACAACAATTATTATTAGCTACTCAATTAACTAGAATGATTTTAAAAATTAATGATGTCATCATAAGTGGTAAAGATGAATACTAGATTTCTACTTATTCCCTCAACATATATACCTTCATTTATAACAACCCATTCATTAATGTACATATATTTATATAGTAATCCATTTCTATACCCATTATCATACTCGATTTTTTTTTTTTTTTTTGCAATTAACGTAGTTGGTCGTGTGGCAACAAGTGCTCTCTTTTTTTTCCCACTCTCCTTTTTCTTTGAGGTTTATCTACTTGTCAAGATTAAAATATAGAGTCAATTGGAAGGTTGATACATCAATTGAATTTTCAATCCATTCTTCTATCGACTTAAAGAACAAATACATTCAGGATGTCTAGTATGGGAACACCTGCTGTTGTCATGGACAATGGTACTGGGTTAACTAAATTGGGTTTTGCAGGAAATGATTCACCATCGTTTGTCTTTCCAACTGCTATTGCTACATCTTCATCATCTAATAAAACTTCTAAATCCGCATCAGCGAAAAGTACTAACTTGAGTGCCAAGCGGGGATTGGAAGATTTAGATTTTTTCATTGGAGATGAAGCTTTGAATGCAGCCAATGGACCAAATTATAATTTATCATATCCCATTAGACATGGTCAAATTGAGAATTGGGATCACATGGAAAGATTTTGGGAAAATTCAATTTTTAAATATTTAAGATGTGAACCAGAAGATCATTACTTTTTATTGACTGAACCTCCTTTAAATCCTCCAGAAAATAGAGAAAGTACTGCTGAAATTATGTTTGAATCTTTCAATTGTGCAGGTTTATATATTGCTGTCCAAGCTGTTTTGGCTTTGGCTGCTTCCTGGACTTCATCTAAAGTTCAAGATCGATCTTTAACTGGTACTGTTATTGATTCTGGTGATGGTGTCACCCATGTTATCCCAGTGGCAGAAGGTTATGTTATCGGTACCGCCATTAAAAATATACCTTTGGCTGGTAGAGATATAACTTTATTCATTCAGTCTTTATTAAGAGATAGAGGTGAAGCAAATACCTCTTTACAAACTGCAGAAAAAATTAAACAAGATTTTTGTTATGTTTGTCCTGATATCGTTAAAGAATTTAAAAAATTTGATCAATATCCCCAAGAGAAATTTGCCCAATATATCGTTGAATACACCGATAGAAATAAAAGAGATACCGTTGATGTTGGTTATGAAAGATTTTTAGCTCCAGAAATATTCTTTAATCCAGAAATATGCTCTTCTGATTATTTGACTCCTTTACCTACTGTTGTTGATCAAGTTATTCAATCTTCCCCCATTGATGTCCGTAAAAAATTGTATAAAAACATTGTCTTATCAGGGGGTTCTACCATGTTTAAAGATTTCGGTAGAAGATTACAAAGAGATTTAAAAGGTTTAGTCAATGAAAGAATTGAATTAAGTGAAAAATTAAGTGGTGTTAAAAGTACCGGTGTTGACGTTCAAGTCATCTCCCATAAAAGACAACGTAATGCTGTCTGGTTTGGTGGTTCTCTTTTGGCTCAAACTGCAGAATTCAAAAGTTATTGTTACACCAAACAAGATTACGACGAATATGGTCCAAGCATTGTTAGAAACTTCTCCTTATTCTCCGTACCTTAATCCTATTAGACACTTCAGCTTTCCTTCTTCTCTCTACCATATAAAAAGTCTTTATCTTTTCTTTAGTTTATTTCATTTATCCTCTTTATTATATACGTTCTTTATTTACCCGTACACCACACACCCTAAAGTACCTGGAAAAGTCATGCAAAATATTTATTTAGACAAGTTTCCCGTTAGGCGTGTGCACATCAATATGTATCGAGTGAGCTTTTCTTTCCAATAGTTTTGATTTTAAGCGCTTTGATAAGAAACTTTAACTGGGTAAGTTTTTTACAAAGAAATCTATTAGTGATTGAAGCTCAGGCCCATCATGTCGTCCAATCAGGTACAGATTGTCGAGGGCATGTCGCTCGTTCAAATCAAGAAAGGATTGAAATCTAAGGATGAGGATGAACGTAATAGATCGGCAAATGAATTAAGAAGTTATCTTCAATCAATAGCTAGAGATTTACCACCAGAACAATTTGATAAATATAATAGTAGTATCAAGCTTACAATTCGGGAGCTTTTAGCAAGTAATGAAAGTTCCGAGGTCTTGGGTGGTATAGCTGCGGTAAACAAATTGATTGACCTCGATGTTGGTATTGAAGATAATATTAAAACAGTTAGATTTACCAATTATTTATCTCATTTGATTGTTTCCAATGACTTAACCATTATGAAATACGCAATCAACACTCTAGGTCAATTGGCGGCACCGGGTGGTACATCCCCGGGTGAATTTGTTGATGAACAAGCTAAAAAGGCTAATGAATGGCTTCAAAGTGATGGTAAACAACATGACAATAGAAGACATGCAGCCATATTGGTCATCACTGCTTTGGCAAATAATGCCCCTTCCCTATTATATCCTTATGTGCATCAGTTTCTTGAATATATGTGGATACCTTTACGAGATAGTAAATTAGTTATGAGAATTGATGCAGCCGAAACTTTCCATAAATGTATGGATTTAATTTATCATAGAAATACTAACTCTAGTAGATTTTGGATTAAAAACTTTTTAGATACTGCATCCAGAACTCTTAGTGATACCCCAAACAGTTTCAAACCAGAATCATCAACTTCCACCAATGCAAATTCCCTGAGTACCTATAACTTAATTGCATCCGCAAACAATCAATCTAATGAATCGATTCATAGTTCGCTCTTGGTATATAGAGAACTTATCAAGTATCATAAAGACGCATATATTGTATCCAATTTTGAGTTAATTTATGAAAATACTATAAGGTACAAAAATCACAAGCTCGCAATCATTAGACAAGAACTCACCAACATCTTCCCATTGCTTTGTAAAGTTAATCCGGAACTTTTCGTTGAAAAATATTTACATCGTACGTTATACTATTATCTTTCTCAATTGAAAAAATATAAAAATCAGCATAATGAAGCTGCAAATGCTGAAAAAAGTGCCATATTTAAAAGTATTGGATTGATTTCACTCGAAGTTGGTAATCAAATGGCTACATATCTTGATGCAATTTTAGACAATATCAGAGAAGGATTATCCTATTCTTCTAATCCAAGTGTTCAACTGATTCTTGTTAATGCCGTATCTAGTAATGGATCTTCGGCTGCGGCCGTATCAAATGGTGAAAGCTCCAATTCAGCTAATAGTCTAAATGCAATTTCAGCTTCAGCATCTGGTTCTTCCAAGCACAAGGCAAGCAGAAAAGTCACAGAACCCGCCATTTTCGACTGTATCGGTAAATTATCCATAGCAGTTGGCCCTGCATTGACAAAGCATTTACAACGAGACATATTAGATATGATGTTTAGTAACTGCTCATTGTCGACTCATATGAAAGATGTGTTACAAACTCTTATAGAAAACATTCCAACTTTAACTGACATTGTAAATATGAAACTTTTGAATTTGTTGAGTTTGGTTCTTTCAGGTAAAATCTTTCAACCACCCGGATCTCCTTATGGTACAATAAAAATAAACACCTCTTTGGCGAAGGATTATCGTTTGATGATGATATCAAGAGATACTGGATTGAGTATTAATAATATTTTGAATAACCCAGAATTATACGAAACTTATGATAGTGCTATCTTGACTCAAGCTTTGGAAATGCTTCCTGCATTCAAATTCGAAAATTATCAACTTAATGAGTTTGTTAGATACTGTACCTTAACCTACTTAGAACACCGAAATTATAAAGTTCGTTTATCAGCTACAAAAACTTCTTGCAATGTTTTCATAGAAGATCCCATTTGTCATCAAACTAGTGTCAATGCATTGAATGCAGTGAATGAAGTCTTAGATAAGTTACTTTCAATCTCCATTACTGATCCAATCCCCGATATCAGATTAGAAGGCTTGAAATGCTTGAATAATGGAAACTTTGATAATCAATTATCTCAAGCCGATAACGTGAAATTACTTTTCATCGCTTTAAATGATGAAATATTCAGTGTTAGACGAGTTGCAATTGCAATACTAGGTCGCTTATCGTCTATAAACCCTGCATACATTGTTCCTTCTTTGAGAAAAACTTTGATTCAATTATTATCAAAATTAGAATATGCAAACACTAGTCGCAAAAAGGAAGAAAGTGCAACTTTGTTATCATTATTGATTTCTAACTCAAAAGAGCTTGCGCGCCCTTACGTCAAACCAATAGTTGAAGTATTATTACTGAAAGCAAAAGATAAGAGCTTTCTTGTTGCAACTAGTGCTATTAAATGTCTTGGTGAACTTGCTGTCGTAGGGGGTGAAGATTTGAAACCATTCATCCCAGACTTAATGCCACTAATATTAGAAACTTTCCAGGATCAAAGTTCTTCTTTCAAAAGGGATTCAGCTTTGAAAGCATTAGGGCAAATAGCAAGCTCTTCAAGTTATGTCATTCAACCACTTTTGGATTATCCACAATTGTTAGGTATGCTTGTGAGTATTTTGAAACTGGAAACCTCTCCATCAATCAGAAGAGAAACAGTGAGATTACTTGGTATTCTTGGTGCATTAGATCCTTATAAACATCGTGAAGTTGAACAAAATTCCAAAAGTATACCAGTTGAACAAAATGCCCCACCAGTAGATGTTGCCTTGTTGATGCAGGGTATGTCGCCATCGATTGACGAATATTATCCAACAGTTGCAATCAACAACTTAATGAGAGTTTTAAAAGATCCTTCCTTAAGTACACACCATAGTAAGGTTATTCAAGCCATCATGTACATATTTCAAACATTGGGCTTAACCTGTGTCTCCTTCTTGCCTCAAATAATCCCGGGAATTATTAATGTCATGCACACCTGTCAACCATCTATGTTGAACTATTACTTTCAACAGTTTGGACATTTGATTTTAATTGTCAAACAGCATATTAGACCATTCTTACCAGAGATTTTTAAAGTGATTGAAGAATTTTTCAGTGTTAATAGCCAACTTAACACCCAAAATATTATTATTGATTTGATCCAATCGATATCTAAAGCTTTAGAAGGAGAATTCAAAATGTACTTACCAGATGTTTTGCCTTTGTTGTTAAACGTATTCGAAGAAGATAAATCTGAAGACAAAGACGCTAGCTCTAATGTTTTAGAAAGTTTTGTTATCTTTGGCAGTAACATCGAGGACTATGTTCATATAATCATCCCAAATATTTGTAAGTTGTTTGAAACTGGTCCTTTAGATTTGAGGATAGATGCACTTGAAACTATCGGTCAAATCTCAGATAAAGTACCACTAAATGATATGGCATCAAGGATTATTCACCCAATTTTACGTGTGTTGCGTGAAGATCATGATTCATTAAAGCTGGCTGCAATGAATACCTTAAGTTGCCTTGTTTTACAACTTGGCTCCGAGTTTAGTGTTTTCATTCCTGTATTGAAGAAGACATTACTTCAACAGAAGATCCATTCCTCAACCTTTGAACAATTAGTGAACAAGCTCTTAAGTGGAGATCCTTTACCTGACCACCTTGATATTTACAAAGAAAAGAAGGATAAGAAATTGAGTCATTTCGACAGACCAGATGTGTCCAGGAAGCTCCCAGTAAATCAAGATGTATTGAAATTGGCTTGGAACTGTAGTCAAACTCGCACAAAGGAGGATTGGCAAGAATGGATAAGCAGATTAAGTCTTGAACTTATAAAAGAAAGTCCTTCGCATGCCATCAGAGCTTGTTTAGGTTTGGCTATAGACTATCATCCAATAGCAAAAGATTTGTTCAATGCCAGTTTTGCAAGTTGTTGGAGTGAGCTATATTCACAGAATCAAGAGGAATTAGTTGAATCATTTTGTTACGCATTATATTCAGCTGCAAACCCTCCAGAGATTCACCAAATTCTTTTGAACTTAGCAGAGTTCATGGAGCATGATGACAAACCATTACCAATTTCAATTACAAGATTGGGTCAATTTGCTCAACGTTGTCATGCTTATGCAAAAGCTTTACATTATAAAGAGCTTGAGTTTTATGAAGAGCCAACAACTCCTACCATTGAGGCCTTAATCAGTATCAATAACCAGCTTCAGCAATCAGATGCCGCTGTGGGTATTTTGAAGCATGCACAACTACATCATGATCTTCAATTGAAAGAGACATGGCATGAAAAATTACAGAAGTGGGATGATGCATTACGTGCTTACAATGAAAGAGAAAAGACCGAACCTGACAACATGGAAGTTGTAATGGGTAAAATGAGAAGTTTGCATGCTTTAGGTGAATGGGAGCAATTATCTGAACTTGCTCAGAAGAAGTGGACCAACTCCACAAGTGATACCAAGAGAAGTGTGGCACCTTTGGCAGCAGCAGCTGCTTGGGGCTTGGGTCAATGGGATAGAATGGATGCATGTATCAGAGTTATGAAACCCGAGTCACCAGATAAAGCATTTTTCAATGCTGTCCTTAGTTTGCACAGAAATAATTTTGAAGATGCTTCGAACAATATTTTGAAGGCAAGAGATCTTTTGGTAACTGAAATCACCGCTTTAGTGAGTGAAAGTTACAATAGAGCATATGGGGTTGTTGTTAGAGTTCAAATGCTTGCCGAGTTGGAAGAAATCATCAAATATAAATGTTTGCCTCAAGGTTCGGAAAAAAGAGCGCTTATGAGAAAAACCTGGAATACTAGATTACTTGGCTGTCAAAGGAATGTTGATATATGGCAAAGAATGTTGAAAGTCAGGGCGCTTGTTATTAAACCTAAACAAGATATGGAAATGTGGATCAAGTTTGCTAATTTATGTCGTAAATCTGGTAGATTAAACTTAGCAGAGAAATCATTGAACTTTTTATTAGAAGAAGGTTCCCCAGAGAACCCATCTAGGGCTCCTCCACAAGTTGTTTACGCTCAATTGAAATACATGTGGTCTAAAGGTCAACAAAAGGAAGCTTTGCGTCATTTAGTTGATTTCACCACCAGGATGTCGCAAGACTTGGGATTAAACCCTAATGATTTGATAACTCAACCCTTACCATCAGAGGGTCCTGGAATTCCAAAGCATGTTGAAGAATATACTAAACTATTAGCAAGATGCTTCTTGAAACAAGGTGAATGGCAAATCGCATTGAATAGTAATTGGAGAACGGACACATCTGAAATAATTCTCGGTGCTTATCTATTGGCTACCCATTTTGATGATAAGTGGTATAAAGCATGGCATAATTGGGCACTTGCTAACTTTGAAGTAATATCATTATTCACTCAAAGCAATAGGCAAAATAGTAATACAAATCAAAATGAGATGATTATGGAACAAAATGAAGTCAATTATACTGAAAATGATCTGAAAACCCCACAGACCAATATACAAGATAGTAAACCAAAAGCAAATGTTATACCCATCGAAGCGGTACAGCGTCATGTCGTACCTTCCATTAAAGGGTTCTTTCATTCCATTGCTTTATCTAACTCCAATTCACTTCAAGACACTTTAAGATTGTTAACTTTATGGTTCAAATTTGGTGGGATCCCTGAGGCGGCTCAAGCAATGACCGAAGGTTTCAGTATGGTGAAAATAGATAATTGGTTGGAGGTTGTCCCTCAGTTAATTTCTCGTATTCATCAACCAAATCAAATTGTTAGTCGGTCATTATTCGGATTGTTGAGTGATTTAGGTAAGGCTCACCCTCAAGCATTGGTATATCCATTAGCTGTGGCTGTCACCTCAGAATCTGTAAATCGTAAAAAGGCTGCAATGTCTATTATTGATAAAATGCGTATGCATTCGCCTAGGTTGGTTGATCAATCCGAATTAGTAAGTCACGAATTAATCAGAGTTGCTGTTTTATGGCATGAACAATGGTACGAAGGTTTAGAGGATGCCTCAAGATTATACTATGGTGAACACAATACTGAAAAGATGTTTGAAGTTTTAGAGCCACTCCACGAAATGTTGAAGAAGGGCCCTGAAACAATGAGAGAAGCATCTTTCAACAATGCATTTGGAAGGGAATTAGCTGATGCATACGAATGGGTGTTGAACTTTCGCCGTACCAAAGATACTGCGAACCTTGATCATGCATGGGAGATTTACTATAATGTATTCCGTCGTATCAGTCGTCAATTACCTCAATTGCAGAGCCTAGAATTACAATACGTTTCACCTAAATTAGAAGAAGCCAACAACCTCGAGTTAGCCTTACCGGGTACTTATCAAGCGGGCAAACCAGTGGTAAGTATCGTAAAATTCGATCCAACTTTCTCAGTTATCTCGTCAAAACAAAGACCTAGAAAAGTTTCCTGCAGAGGAAGTGACGGCAAAGACTATACATATGTTTTAAAAGGTCATGAAGATATCAGACAAGATAACTTGGTAATGCAATTATTTGGTTTAGTCAATACTTTGTTACTCAATGATACTGAATGTTTCAAGAGACATTTAGATATTCAACGTTATGCTGCTATACCATTGTCTCCTAAGGTTGGTTTATTAGGTTGGGTACCTAATAGTGATACTTTCCATGTTTTAATCAGAGAGTATCGTGAATCTCGTAAAATCTGGTTAAATATTGAGCATCGTATTATGTTACAGATGGCACCTGATTATGATAGTCTTACGTTGTTACAAAAAGTTGAAGTATTCACCAATGCATTGGATAATACCAGAGGTCAAGATTTATACAAAGTATTATGGTTGAAATCTAAATCATCTGAAGCCTGGTTAGATCGTCGTACTACGTATACTCGTTCATTGGCTGTGATGTCTATGGTTGGGTATATATTGGGTGTTGGTGATCGTCATCCTTCAAATTTAATGTTGGACAGATCTACTGGTAAAGTTATTCATATTGATTTTGGTGATTGTTTTGAAGCTGCTATTTTGCGTGAAAAATACCCAGAAAAAGTTCCGTTTAGATTGACCAGAATGTTGAACTATGCTATGGAAGTCAGTGGTATAGAAGGTTCATTCCGTATTACTTGTGAACATGTTATGAGAGTTCTTCGAGATAATAAGGAATCTTTAATGGCGATCTTGGAAGCATTTGCATATGATCCATTGATCAATTGGGGGTTCGATTTCCCAACAAAGGCAGTTGCTGAAGCAACAGGAATTAAAGTTCCTCAAGTAAACACTGCCGAACTATTGAGAAGGGGCCAAATAGACGAACAAGAAGCTGCAAAACTCGCAAAGCAAAATGAATTAGAAATAAGAAATGCTAGAGCAGCATTGGTTTTGAAGAGAATTACTGATAAATTGACTGGTAATGATATCAAACGATTAAAAGGATTGGACATTCCAACTCAAGTTGACAAGTTGATTCAACAGGCCACTAGTGTGGAGAATTTGTGCCAACATTACATTGGATGGTGCTCATTTTGGTAAAAGGAAAATCAATTCTTCAATTCTTTGAGTCAGGTGTTTTACATCTACTTTTATTTAAAAGACATTTATTACATAATTTAATAATATACAAGTAAAGTATTTTTATGCTATTTTTTTAGAAGCACTAGTAAAACCAATTCCTTTAAGGGAAACAGTCATAAAATCCTCTTCACCAGGGATTGGTTCATTTGCACCATCTTTCAAGAAAGCTTCAGTTCCAAAGACTTGTTTAATGTCACGTAATATATGAATAAAATTATCGTCGATTTGATCTTTATGAACTTTCAATCTTCCAATATCTTCTTTACCAATGGTCATAAATGCTAAACATAATTGAAGTTGGTTTCTTCCAACTGCAACACTTTTCGATAATTCTTCTAATAACTCATATGCAACACGTTCACCCAAATCTTCTGGTAAACTACCGGGAGAACCAACACCTTCTGCTAGTATTCTCCAACCCTTTTTCAGCTCTGCTACTAAGGTGACACCAAATCCTGGGGATTTCCCTGAGTTTTCTCCTCTCCAAACGTCAGCAGTGATATTAACTTCCACTCCTGTTGGTCTCAAAACATTTCTAGCACTATCTATTATTCTATTAACCATTGATGGAGAAACACGAGTACAATATGCAACACCTCTGATGGCGGATATTTTTGGATTTTCGAGAGCATGCATAGTTATTGGTTGTGGAATTAACGAATTACATAACAAATGAACCTCACCTCCACCTAAAGGTGGTGATCCACGTTTCAATATATGCAACGAAACTTCTCTTACTCCAAACTTTTCCATTATTGGTAAGAGCCCCCATTTGATCGACTCAACACCAGCATCTCTGGTCTTGTCGGATGCCGTGAGTCCTTTGAACACTATCGAGAATTTCTTCTTGGAAAATGGTGCAAGGTATAGCATTGGTTCAATAAAATATCCAACTGGCTTGGAAACAGGACAATTATGGGTCAATTGTCCCCCTATGATAATCCCTGGCCTGAATATAACGCTAGTACCAGTGTACGAAATTTCTATACGGGAGTCATTAGTGACTGCCTCCAACAATCTTAAAAATGAAATTTCGTAATCTTTTAAACCAGGATTCATATCATTTGATCTAATCTTGGAGATCTTGATTGGAATACCTGCCAATGTAGCCAAAACTAAACGTAGTCTCAAGTTTCGGTGGCCTTCAAAGGTCACCATAGAAGTCTTGGAGCTGGACATACTGCTACTAAGTACTAACCAAAGTGAATGATATCGAATATATTGCAATAATCGAATAAAATGATTTTTTTTTCAATTAGACATCTCTTTGCAATGAGGCATCTCAAAGCTAAAGAAAAAAAAAAAAAAAAAGATGAAAAATCACCGGGTCGGAAGTACTGGGATTTTGCCTCACAAGTCACATGATCAGCCGGATTTCAAATGTCAGCAAAAAAAAAAAAATAGAGAGGGAAAAGACATTGAGCTATAAACAACAGGAAGAAGTTGGCAAAGGCTTTAGAAAGAATTGCCATTAAGCATTTATCATCAAGTCCAACTTGAACAGCATCACATCATAGAGCAGATATAGGTACGATGTCGTCCGGTCCAGGTGATACGCATTCGGACTCGCAGAAAAGGCAATTAGAGGGTAATTCCACTGATGAATTTCCAAACAAGCGGACTCAGAAAGATTCCACGGGAAATGTTGGTGACGGTCAATACGAAGGCTTGTTTGATCCACTTCCATTTGACATGGGAGACATTAACGAAACCCCGCAAGGTGGAGACCAGAATCATGGGGATTTTATGGTGGATAATATCGACGGATTCAATTTCGATCTTCCAGATTTTCTAGATGAAAGTAATGCAGATACAAACCCAGGAAACAGCCACCAGCAGAGTTCTTTAAACAGTCCTGGCAACTCGAGCCAGGTTCCACAAGTGACGGTCAAGAAAGAGAGTGTTTCCGAGTTTCCATCCAATACTGAAGGGAATGATTCTAAAGCACAGTCTAAATCGACGAGTCCTAAAGTTCAAAAGATAAAACCCCCAGCAATGGGATCCGCTAGTCCAGCAGCTTCTAAAAGCAAGTCTCCGGTTAAAGCACCCAAGAATAAACCAGAAGTGAAGAGAGCCACTACTGTGCCTAATAGATTCGATGAACAAAATAACGATGCACAATCTAGAAGCTCCACTCCGGTTGCACAACAGGAGCCACAGCAAGCGGTACTGCTTGCTAGGTCAAAAACAAAGGATGATAAACAAAAGACAAGCAGAGAAGATGGCGGGAAATCAAAGGTTAGCGCAGATGATGCCTCGAAACTTAATGATGCCATTGCAGCAGCAGGAGTTGATATTCAAAAGGAAGAAGAACTCTTGGCTCAACAGCACGCCCACAGAGCATCCAATATAACGGCTGCAAATCAATTTTCACAAAGACAGAGACAATACAATCCTCATTTGAATGCATTCTTACATCCATATCATCTCGCGGTATTTATGAATCGAGTAGCAAACCAAAATGGGATCCTTCAGAATTTCGTACAGGACGGTGAACTACTAGAACTTATGTCTGTAGCCTGTCAGCAATGGCTTTCCAAAATAGTCAGCAAGACTGTTATATTGTCTCGCCATCGTCGTCGTGGTATACCTAGTTTCAATTCAAAAAATAAAAAGTTGTCCCTGTCACTGCTGACTGCAATTCAAAGATCAGACTTATCCAAGGAATTAAGAAACTTAGCTGCAAAACAAAAAGAAATGGAGGAAAAAAGAGTCAGCAAGAGAATCATTCTAGGTTTAGAAAAAAGTGCCGATGCAAATGGGGATGCTTCCGCTAAAGCAGGTGCTGAAGAAACTTTACACAGAGCTGCAAATGCCACAGCTGCAATGATGGCCATGAATCCTGGTCGTAAAAAGTATTCGTGGATGACCTCCAGTACTGGGGGTGGTGATGATGCGGCCGGTGGTGACAAAGACGGTAAAAATAAACAGAGTTCCATCATATCAGTAAGAGGTGATAATGGTTTAAGATACCGTGAAATCAGATCGGGTAACTCAGTCACCATGAAAGATTTATTGGGGGTTATAGAAGAAGAAAGAATGGGCACAGAAAAAGCCGTCATAAAAGGTTACGCCAAATTGAAAGACTAATCCCTCTCCATTTATATAAATCTAATGTCCTGTAATATATAAAGTTATTTCTTTAATGAACCCAGTAACAGTTTTATGTAAAGATATCATTTTTGTTGATGTGCGCAACACAAATTGAAAATATAAACAAAGTACCAGATCAGAATCAAAACATCAAGTTAAGCAGACCTTGATACCAGGGTTTATTTGACTAGCATTCGAGAATGGACTTCACACTCTCTACGTACTTCAACAGCTTCGATGCCGACAAGGAGTACCCTTTGGAAGTTTCAGATATCGATTCGAAGCTCGAGTCTGTTATTGATTCGCTAGCTAATAATCCAGAAGCCATAATAACTAATGATGAGCTATTTGAGGAAATAATTGACTTGGCTCATGGGTTTCCGTCATTGGATACCAAGCATCAGAAGCAATTCTCGTACTTGATCACCTCATCGTTTAATTCAATTGGTCAAAACTGTTATAATGCGATTGAACAAGGTGACTTCGTGGACCAAATAGAGCATTTTGGAACTATTTTGGAAAAATACGGTTATATTATGTTTGTCCTCCTAATATATTTGGGGAAAGAAGACCATAATTTATCAGGAAAGTCGAGGCAGCCCTCCAATAACGCTAAGTGGAAAGCAAATTGTACTCAGGTTGAAGACGCTTTGGCAGCAGTAGTTACTGTTTTGAAGATTGATATATCTAAAATATTCGTTACTACCCCTGAACGTAACTTGTTCATCGAGTTATTCATAAGGCCAATTTTCAGGTTGATGGAAGTACCCGAAAGAATGAAGGTTGCATCCATTAAGATGTTCATGTTCAAGAATATTTGTCTCGCAGTGAAGTACCATGGTCATAGTACCATGGTTAAAGGTTCTATATTACAAGGGCTAACTTATTATATCCATCTTCCAAATTATATGGCTGAGCTTCTACATACTTTGAACACCCAATTTGACTATAATGTATTGACTGAAGAAGTCCTAAGAGATATTGCACAAATAGAATTCAATTCAAATGACAGTAATGGTCCTAAGTCTATATCCGAATTTTTGGTGAAGCTATCTGAGCTTAATCCTCGACTGATTTTGAAGCAGTTGTCATCAACTGCTCAATTATTGGATAACAGTAATCAAACATTGAGATGTTCAGTAGTTGAAACTTGCGGGAATATAGTAATTGATATTATAAAATCAGAACAGAGTGATAATGAATCTGCAGATGAACATAATTCCAATAGTTCTCAACAAATAGATGGTCTTCTCAATTTACTTCAAGAAAGATTTTTGGATCAGAATCCTTATGTCAGAACAAAGGCAATTCAAGCCTTAGTTAAAGTATGTAACCTACCAGTTAAATTCCCTAAGAGAAGACAGATCATAATGTTGTTAGCAGTGAGATCATTAGATGATAAAAGTACATTGGTTCGCCGTAACTCTATAAAATTAATGTGCAAATTAATTTTGACCCACCCATTCTCCACTGCTCATGGTTCCCAATTATCACAAAAGTTATGGAAAGCAAAGCTAGATGAGGCCGAAGCTGAACTTAATCAATACATTCCGATATCTCCTATAAAAAAATCGAAAAGAAAAAATGATGAGCTTGATTCTGTAGAAGAAGAGGATGAGCTCTCGGGTAGTGATAGTGAAGAAAATGGTAAACAAAGTGATGATATGGATGTGGATGAAGAAAATCAAGATGAGAAAGAAGCAGATGATGAAGAAGACAAAGATGAAAATGATGAAGAAAAAGATGATGAAAACGAAAGTCTAGATTTGGATGAATTGAATGAATCAATGATTGAACAGCAAGAGAATTTACCGGATACTAGCACGCTTCTCAAACTCAAACTTAAGGTACAATATTATCAGGATGCTGTCCTATTCATTGAGGCTATTCATAAAGGTGCAGATATTGTTTCTAGGTTACTTTTCTCCAAGAATAGAAACGAGGTTTTGGAATCTATGGACTTTCTTGTTCTTGCCGATGCTTATGACATCCAGAATGCTCAAGTTGGTATTCGTCGTATGTTGCATTTGGTTTGGATGAAAGGCTCTTCAGATGAAGGAAAATCTATTGCATCACACTTAATTGACTGTTACAAAGACTTATTCTTAACGGTACCTAATGATTTATCCCCTGGAGAAGCTGCTGCAATGATAGCTCACAATTTAATTGGATTAACTTATTCTGCATCAGTTTCCGACTTGGCGTCACTTGAGAAACTTCTTTGTCTTATGTATGATGAAAAATTAATTAATCAGGATATCATTAAAGTTCTTTGGCAAGTATACAGTTTTGCTGAAAATAATGAAACTGAACAAATAACATCCAAAAGACAATCACATGGTGCCATTATTCTATTGGGTATGTTGGCATTAGCAGATAATAACATTGTATTGAAAGGATTTGATCCATTATTGAGAGTAGGTTTAGGAGATGTTGGTAAGGATGATTTGGTATTGTGTAAATATTCATGTCTTGCTTTGCAGAGAGTTATGCCAGCAACCACCAATAAGAACCAAAACAATGAAACATTTAAGATTGATAGAGAAGATGAGGCAATTGAAAGGCTCACCAACATTTTACTTTCTTATAATGAAAAACCAGAATGGTATACAGTTGCAGAACAAGCCATTGGCGCCATTTATCGTGCATCAAGTAATCCGGATGAAGTATGTTCCGATATTATCAAGAGTAAAACCAAGTTAGTCTTTGCCGGAAATGAAGGCTCAAAATTGATAAGTTTATCACAGCTTTTGTTTATTGTGGGACACATTGCAATTAAAACCATTGTCCATTTAGAGGAACTCGAGACGTTATTTAAGAAGAAAAAGCACGATTCTGAAGCTGCTAACAAGAAAGTTGATAATGGGGAAGAGGAAGAGAATAACGATAATGAATTAGAAATGATTGGTGGAACTTCCGAAGATGATTTTACCGATGCTGTTATCTATATTAAAGAACGAGAGCTTCTTTTTGGAGAAAATTCCTTACTCGCAAGATTTGGTCCCTTGGTGAAAGAAATATGTTCAAATAACAAGAATTATGATAATGAAATCTTACAGAGATCAGCTGTTTTATGTATGAACAAACTTATGTGTGTTTCTTCCAAATACTGTGAAGATAACTTGCCGCTTCTTATCACAATCATGGAAAAATCACCCGATCCAATAATTAGATGTAACTGTGTTTTAGGTTTAGGAGACATGGCTGTCTGTTTTAATAATTTGGTGGATGAAAATACCGACTTCTTATATCGCCGTCTTACAGATGAGAATATCATGGTACAAAGAACATGTCTCATGACAGTGACCTTTTTGATTCTAGCCGGTCAAGTTAAAGTCAAAGGTCAATTATCTTCCATGGCCAAATGTTTGGAAAATTCTGATCAAGGTATTAGTGATATGTGTAGATTGTTCTTCACGGAATTGGCTACGAAAGACAATGCCATATATAATGGGTTTATTGATATATTCAGTGGATTATCAAATGATGATAGTTTATCCAAAGATGCCATGAAACGTATTGTTAAGTTCTTAGTTGGTTTCATTGAAAAGGAAAAACATCAAAAACAATTATCTGAAAAATTATTGGTCAGATTAATGAAATGTCAATCGGAGTCACAATGGAACGACGTCGCTTTCGTATTGTCTTCCATTCCTTACAAAAACGAAGCCATCACCACTGCTCTTGAAGCTGGTTATAAAATGGTTCTGGCTAGAGATTAATGTTGTATACTACATATAGATATATTTTGGGTCATAGAACCGACTGTAAGCCTTCCACCGTTAACACCAAACGGTCAACCAATACCCCGTTTTATTATCTACCCCTGTCTATTCCACAATGGTTACCTCAAGACTACTCCACACTTTGAGCTTCTGCTTCTACTAATTTGGTAAAAATCAAATAAATTGAAGTTGTTCGATAAAACACGACAGAACAAACAAAAAAAATAACAAACTTGCGGATCACAAGCTGTTCAAAGCCGAAGAATTGATAACGAAAAGAACAAAAATACTTACTCTTTTCGCTATATACCCTTATAGAGGCACTGAAACAACGTGAATTGATAACAGTTTAACATGGTGATTGCAATTGTTCAATCATACATGTCTCAATGGCTGAATTTGGTTGGTTTAGATGAAGCTAGTTTCAAGATTTTATTCTGTACTATTCTCTCCTTCCCATTCAGTGTGATATTCAAACGGTTACCTGACCGAGATTATACTCTCAAGAATCTTTATGTGATTGGAGTTTCGTCCATATATGTGTTTGGTATTCTTAATTTAGGATCGGGCTTGATAACGTTACTTGTTTCGTCCTTAGGTTCATATTTTATTACTAGATATTTAAGGACTAATGCGATGCCATGGGTTAATTTCTTATTTTTAATGACCCATTTGGCGTATAGCCATGTTAAGACTCAATTTTTCGTTGAATATGATCCAACTATAATTGATATTACTGGGGCTCAAATGGTGCTCGTTATGAAGTTGACAGCTTTTGGTTGGAACGTTTTTGATTCAAAACAACCAAAAGAGTATTTAACCCCATATACCCGTTCAAGAGTGATTAAAAAGCATCCAAATATCTTACCATACCTTGGATATGTTTTTTTCTTTGCGTCTGTTCTTACTGGACCAGCATTCGACTATATTGATTACGATAAATTTATCCATTCAACATTATTCGATGATGTTCCTGATGACAAGAGACCAGGTAAAAGAAAGAGAAGAATTCCTCGTAGTGGTAAGCCTGCTTTACAAAAAGTTCTTCACGGTGCTTTTTGGGCTAGTATATTTTTCCAAGCTTCTAAGTACGTTAATTTGAAATATGTTTTGAGCGGTGACTTTTATGAAGAACATAATTTCATCTATAGAATTTTTTACTTATGGGTATTGAGTTTATCTCATCGTTTGAAGTACTATACCATCTGGTTAATTGCTGAAGGTGCTTGTATTTTATGTGGTATTGGTTATAATGGATATGATCAAGAAACTGACTCATTTAAATGGAATAGAGTTCAAAATATTGATACATATGCATTTGAAACTGGTCAAAACGTTCACACTTGTTTAGAAGCATGGAATATGAATACTAACAAATGGTTGAAGAATTACGTTTATACAAGAATTGCTAGAAGGGGTAAGAAACCCGGTTTTAAAAGTACTCTTTTCACTTTTGCAACAAGTGCTTTCTGGCATGGTACAAGACCTGGATATTATTTAACTTTCGTCATGGGTGCTTTTGCTCAAACCTTGGGCAAAATTTATCGTCGTAATTTACGTCCAATGTTCTTAGAGGCTGATGGTAAAACTCCAAAACCTTCAAAGAAAATTTATGATTTCATTACTTATTTTGTCACTCAATTATCTTTTGGTTTCATTACTCAACCATTTGTTATCCTTGATTTTAGGAAATCCTTGTATTGTTGGTCAACTGTTTACTTTTACGTTCCAATTGGTACAGCAATCACTTTATTCCTTTTCAAAGGTCCATATAGTAAAAAAGTTATTGCCTGGTGTCAATCCCATAATGACGCTTATCTTCTTGCCCAAGAACAAAATAGAGCTCCGCCCAAGAACAAATTATCCAAGGTCGAAACTGATAAAGTTAAAGCCGTTGTTTCCAATATTGTCATGAAAGATGAATCCGAACAAGAAATACCGACATTAGGTTTGCCACCTATCGACGTTTTGGAAACCGCTACCAAAGAAGAACTCGACCAAGATATGAAAGAATTGAGCGAAGCATGGACTTCATTCAGGGGCCGCAGAGGATCAATCAAAGACGACGACTTCGAAGGTTTGAGAGATGCTTACAATAACTTTACTAATGAAATCAACGAAATCTTTGCTCATACAAAAACACCAATTAAGGTCTCAAAGAAAGACTAATAGTTTGCTCTTGCTTAACGTTTTACTATTTTTTTGTACTTTGTAACATTGACATATACCTTAGTATCCTTGTATTATCAATTGTAGCTGATCAACCATTGGTGTATAAAGAGTTGCTCTTTTAATGGCTTTTTGCGGGCTGAAAATTTTCTGTGCAGGTGACGTCGAGTCTTTCAGCTTGCCTTTGCAATTTTCATATTAGATATCTTTTTGCTTTGAAGCTTGTCAATTACCTTTTCGGATAACCATGATCAGATATACATTGAGATCGTTAGTGGCGAAAGGCCCAAGAGGTGCGTTTGTTCGCTTTAATTCAACATCGACTCCAGTGAAGTCACCGACCGGGGTGGTCTTTATGAATATGGGGGGACCATCTAAAGTTAGCGAAACCCATGATTTTTTACTTCGATTATTTTCAGATTCTGACTTGATTCCGTTTGGGATCTTTCAAAACATATTGGCCAAGTTCATTGCTAAACGTCGTACTCCAAAAATTGAGGAGCACTATGAAGAAATTGGTGGAGGTTCTCCAATTAGATATTGGTCAGAGTACCAATGTGAAAAAGTCTGTAAAATTTTAGATAAAACAAGTCCGGAAACTGCTCCTCATAAACCTTATGTTGCCTTTAGATATGCCAATCCATTAACTGAAGAAACATTACCAAAAATGCTCGAAGACGGTATTACCAGAGCTGTTGCCTTTTCACAGTATCCGCAATATTCTTTTTCAACTTCTGGTTCTTCCTTGCACGAATTGTACAGAAAGACCGTTCAGTTAGATCCAGAAAGAAAGATTAAATGGTCTTTCATTGACAGATGGCCTAAAAACGAAGGTTTGATTAACGCTCATCTGAAGCTTATTACCGAAAAAATTAATGAATTTCCGGAAGAAGACCGTGATAAGGTGATTGTCTTGTTCTCTGCCCATTCGTTACCAATGGAAATTGTTAACCGTGGTGATTCTTATCCTGCTGAAGTTGCTGCTACTGTTTATGCTGTGATGGAAAAGTTAAACTTCAAACATGCTTATCGTTTAGTTTGGCAAAGTCAAGTTGGTCCAAAACCTTGGTTAGGTGGACAAACCGCTAAAATTGTTGCTAAATTAGAGAAAAATGATGATATCAAAGGAATTGTACTTGTTCCGATTGCCTTCACTTCTGACCATATTGAAACTTTACATGAAATTGATATTGAATTAATGGAAGATTCAAAATTTCCACATAAGCTTAAGAGATCAGAATCTTTAAATGGTAACCAAGAATTCATTGAGGGCTTAGCTGATATTGTCAAGAATCATTTGAAGTCCGGCGAAGCTTACTCCAAACAATTAGAATTAGATTGCATCTTGGGTGAAGAATATGCTACAAATACATTTAGTCATCCAAGGGAATTACTTGGTGATCACCATAAAAAAGATTAATGATAAGTCATGACATTGAAGAATATATAATACGATATACTAATAATTTAAAATACACAAAATTTCTTTTAAATGATCAATCCGAATCTTCTTCCTCGTTAGGATCAAATAAGTCCAAATCAAGAGCAGCCTGTTGCTGTTGTTGGCCTGCTTGACCCAACTCCTCTTTAGGTGCGCTAGAGTATGAACCAAAGGAACCTCTGCGTGCAATTGGTTCTTCCTTTGCAACCTTCTCTTCCTTAGGTTTCTCTTGTTCTTCATCTTGTTTCACTTCTTCTTCTCCCAATTCTTTCTTGATTATTTCATCGGCTTTCAACGATGCCACTGCGAGCATTCCTCTTCTTAAAGCATCTTCTGCTGGCCATATATAATTATTAGGATGTATTTGAAATGGGGCATTTGCAGTAGTAGCTGGTGCTTTCGTAAATTTTGATAATTTCATGGCGTACTTTAAAGTTTCTTGTATATCTATAAAATTCATTGATTCATCTTTTTTCAAATTAGACTTATTGGCTGGCAATCTTGGTAATTTTTTTAATTCTGCTCGACATGATATAAGCTCCTTTAAGATATTTTTAGCTTCATTATCCAAATCAGTTCGCTCCTGCTCTAGAACGTCAATTCGATTACCCAAATCCTGGTGATAGTGTAGAACCTCAATTTCCTTCACGATTTCATCATTGGTTGATATTAAATTTTCAATCAGTTCGGTTATATTTTCTTCCTGAAATGACGAAATAGAAGATGCAAGTTCAGTGAGTAGTCTTTCGAACTCCGATACTTTTTGAACAATGAATAATTTTTCAAATAGTTCTAGCTGTTCTTTTGTTTTTATCTTACTTCTGATATTCTGAAGAGTCACCGGTATATTCTTATTTGGATTCAAAGACGATAAAACGTAAGAAGTCGGAGTCAGGGGATTAGATGCTCCAGGGTGAGTCAATCTTTGCGCAGAACCAACCCTTGATACCGGTACCGATTTGAAAGCTTGGTCTGTTTTTCTGAGAGGTAGCATATTATATCCTCACTGGCTATCTGATACTATTTTATGATTGAAAAGCTTGAACCCTATAAGTTTGTTAGATCTTTTTTTTTGTTGATGTAGTTTTTGTCTCGTTTTTTTTTTTTTTTTTTTTTTTAATACTGCATCCTTTAGAGAATTTGCAATAAAAGAATCACTTTTCAGCCAATTGACTCCATATTTGAGATGTCTAGTCTGGATGAAGAACTACCCCCGAAGAAGAAAGTAAAACCTTTGAAGTTGCCTTCTTTTCCAAGCAGAGAAGAGGTATCCGAGCCGGTATCTGACTCAAGCAATAGTGAGGTCGATTATCAGGCTTTCGAACTTAAAGAAGACGAACATGACAAGGAGCATGAGGATGAATCTGGAGATGAATCACATCTAGGTATATCCCTTTTCCAACGTAATCCTTCATCTATTGGGCTTTCTATGATGAAAAAGATGGGTTTTCAAGAGGGACAGTCACTTGGGAATAAATCTTCAGAAGCCATACGAGAACCTATTAAAGTTGAAAATAAAATCGATCGACTTGGTATTGGAGGAAAAGTGAAACATCCAAAAAATTTTGTTCCTGTCCAGGCTAATTCAGAGCAGTATAGAGATCGAATAAAAAGTAGGCTTTCCGAATCTAAAGTATCTTATCTTATCAAAAAATTGCAAAAAGTTTGCTTTCAATATAGCGGCGACGATGAGAAATACCTAGATAATAACGAAAACTTTGATCCGGGAGATGTTAACATTCTTTGGAGAGAATTTGCCATTGAAATACTAGAAGCCGATTTGAAAAGACGAAATAACAAACGTACCCTAGTATTTGACACAGAGAATAATGAGAATCCTCAACAGATTAAAGAGCAAAGGCGATTGGAAAATGCAAATAATGAAGAATTGAAAGATTGGAAAAGTCTTGATAATTCAGAGAAATTGGAAAAACTCCTTATATACTGTAGAGGATTCAACTACTGCGTTTTTTGTGGATGTTTTTACAACGATGAAGACGATCTACAGAGTAATTGTCCTGGTGTACTCGAAGAAGAGCACGAAGGTATATGACATATGAAATCTTCTTATGACTATGGATCAATATACAGCTGAGCTTAAGATTCTATCTCGATTCAACTTAGATCTAACATGCAAGGTATCAATTTTCTCTGTAGTTAAAGGTTGATTCTCATCAATTAATTGACTTGGGAAACTTTCGGCCTCATCTTGTGATAGCTTATCAAATTCTATGTAATAAGAACCGAGATTTCCATAGAGTTTTGGAGGTGTTGGTATTCTCAGATATTCCTTCAGGTTGAAATCGGGTTGGAAAGCGATTGGCCGTTTATTTGTGGGCTTGCTTTTCCCCCAACTTAGAACCAATCTACAATCATTGATCATGAATCCATTCATGAATAATATGGATGTTTCCGCTGCCTCTCTGGTATAGAACATAATATATCCTCTATTCAAGTGAGGAATAATTTTGCAATAAATTATATGACCAAAGGTAATGAAATGAGAAACCAAATCAGATTCGCTTATGTTTGACGATAATTCTTTGATACAAATTGTAGTATTTCTCGGATCGGTAGATGGAGTGAGAGGGGGTTGAGATTGGGCAAAGTTGACTTGATTTGATTTAGTTTCTATTTTCTGTGTATTCTTCACATTGGTAGATGTAGAACTAGACACTGGAGCTGCAGGGGCAACCCTGATGGGCCTGCTTCCAATCATCATACCAGTACAGTTGGCCAAGGCTTTCTTATGAGTGATTTCGTTATTAAATCTTACAAAACCAAAACCCTTAGACATTTTTGTCATTGGATTCACCATAACTTTGGCTTGTTTGATTTGGCCAGGATATAATGATTCAAAGGCTTTAAAAAGAATAGAGTCGGTCACTTCAAGTCCCAAATCACCAATGAACAAGGAGAACTCCATTTGTGACCGTGTAGAGGGCCCCCTTATACTTCCTTGCGCATTAGAGGAAGGTGATGAAGTTGAAGATGCCAATGTTGAAGAATTGTTACTGGCACTTGCCCAGTTTAATCTGAGAGTTTTATCGTGACCGGGGACTTGTAAACCATTTTTAGCAATAGCACTTGAAACAGCTTCCTGGTTCTCAAAATTAACGAAGCAGTAAGTTGGTTTATTCATTCTATTAGGATCTCCTGATCTATCTCTCATGATTTTTACACTGACAGGAGTCTGACCTAAAGATGTCCAAATTTTACTGATAGTTTCTTCATTCCAAGTGGGCTCTAAATCACCCATCCATATCTGGTTATTATTTGAATCGGAGGAGTAATTTCCTGGGCCGTTGTAGAAGTTCAGATATTGATTTCTATTAGGTTGATAACGCGTTTGATTAGGATTACCTTTTTCCTTGTTTGGAGGTGTTGACTTATAAGAACTCGAATTACCGTACCTGTTCGGTCCATCGTAAGAACCGTATCCACCATAAGAAGAATTACCTGCTTGATTGGAGCCATAATTATTGTACTGGCGATAATTACCTTGTCGCTGATTGGAAAATCTTTGATTTCCTGGTCTATAGTTATTCCCAAACCTGTTGGCAGACATACTTATATTACTAAATGGGTAGCAGATGCGTAAGCTATGAATAGAGGACTAAGTGGGAAAGTTATGCAACAAGAATGGTGACTGAAAAATCGAAAAGTGGTAGTTTTAAAACAAGAAGAAAAAAGAAAAGATTTGCAGAATGGATGTTAGCACTTTCTTTATTAGTATATGGACTGTGGATTTTTTTTTTTTTTTTTGCTTTTTCAGCTCACTCTTTTGGAGAGTTCCATTCCGCTTTCTTCTTGACATCATTGGTTAGTAGTATCAGTTTCGGATCAAGATGCGTGGTGGCGGGTCAACGGCTTGATTTAATTCTTGAATCTATTATAAATTCATCGATAGCAAAAGGAGTTTGTAATTTACCAATCTATGTCATGTAATTTACCAATCTATGTCATATAATTTACTTGAGATATTCGTAAACTCTTGACTGGTATTTTTTTTGCAATAATGATTTTCTTCTAACGATCCAAGGATGGTTCAAACATGCACTTACGTCGTTTCTTTCGAATGGACTGACTTTGAGTAATTGATCCACGAAACTTTTGCCTTGTAAAGAAACCCCATTCCAATGGGATAAATTGAAGTCGATATTTCCCAGCTTAGCATTACGTAGGGTGTTGAATTTATCATTTTCATCGAGAAAAGGAGATACTCCAGAGAGCATTATAGATGTCATTATTCCGAGAGACCAAAGGTCACATTTGGAATTATATCCTTTAATGCTTTTATTATTTAACAAACAGCCTTTATTGCAGTCGGAATTCTCTGCAAAGACTTCTGGTGCACTATATTCAATTGTTCCAACGATTGTATTTGCTCTTGCATTTGGAGCTTTTAAGGATTTAGCGATTCCAAAATCACAAATTGCAATACGGGTTCCTGGAATTGGAGCTTCCAAAAGAACATTATCAAGCTTGATATCACGATGAATAACATTCAAATTGTTGTGTAAAAATTTTAGAGCTTGTAATATTTGGTAAACAATGAAAAGAGCTTCAATTTCGGGAATTGAACTTAACCTTTCTCCTTTCAATAAGTAAGAGAAGAGATCTCCTCCACAAAATAGTTCTTCGAAGATGTACAAAGTCTCATCTATGTGATGTGTTTCATATACTTGTACAATGTTTGGCTATATGAGTTAGTATCACTATTTAATTTACAATGGAGGTATTCGGCATACGTGATGGATTTTCATTAAGATTTGTGCTTCGTTCTTCAATCTATCGGTCTTTGAACCGACTGCCTTGATGATTTTCACCGCAACATGTTTGTTTCTAAGAGTATCCAAGCCATAGTGAACAGCACCAAAGGACCCTTCACCTAACTTCTTATTGGTTACCATCCATTCAGCGTCAGAGTGCCTCTGGCGAATAAATCGCATGTTGGGCTCGAAGCATTGGGAATGACCAATTAGATTTCTGAAGCGGCAGTATAGCCCATGGATAACCTCGATTTCATCGCCGTCGTTGAGAAGAACGACATTCCCTCTTCCAACCTTAAGCTTATTGACGAACGTGCCGTTCTTCGAGGTATCAGCAAGATACGTAAAAGGAGGAGAGTCCACGTTGAAGCGAACAACCCAAAGTCTAAAGTGGACTGAGCTTGCCCTGAGGTCCTTTATCTGTAGCTGACATTCACGCTCGTGCCTTCCAACTTGGATCACTCCTTTCACCGGTATGGCGAAGGAATAAGCATCCTTGAAATCTGCTCCAACTCCGTCCTCGACGCTTTCCGTCACCCTTTCCATCACCTCCTGGTCCACTAAGGTGGATCCCTCGTAATTGGATGTATCAGAATCGGTATGATCAGCCACTTTACCCACTCGGGCTAACGAAGAGCTGTTTGCGCTCACAAACTCCTCGAAGCAAAACAGTCCTGGCGCATTCACTATCTCCAAGCTAGCAACCGTCTCTTGTGAACACAGCATGGTGTAGATATCTACTTGTTGCAAAGCTAGCCGCTGGTGGAAAGAAAGTGGTTGCTAAAAAATCACAATCAGGGCCCCGGAGCGTGGTGTTTGGGTGTTTTCTTTTTTGAATCCAAAACCAAATTTTCACTCTTTTTCTCTTCCAATGAAAAAAAGAGAATTTTTTATTACTGAATTAATGGAGAAGTCGTAACCCTTCAGTATCTTCATTACACCAGACTCGACAAGATAGACGTATATACCCATTGATATGTTTTCCAGATCATTCAGAAGCATTCGTCCATTGATAAACAAAAGATTCCAATCACACGCTGCCGAAGCATCGAGCGTCAAGCCATCAACATTCACCAATAAATACAATTTTGACATAAATCCACCACAAGTCCACCACTACTGGAACTACTACAACGGCGCCGCTCTTGTGTTATTCTGTCCAGCTTTCTTGGCCGTTGCCTACTTATTCCAATACACCGGTTCCAACTTGGAAGGATACGATGGTTTCATACAATACGCCGATAGCGAAAACTCCCCATTGAAAACACTCAAATTCGGTGAAACTCAACAACCAGCCAGAAAATGAATCAGAACCTCTCTTGAGTTATAACGTGGTTACACCAAGTTACACTATCATCCCCATTATCATAATATTTATTCATCTCTACATCTTATTTATTTTCCTTCATTCTCATCTAGTCTAGTCCAGTCGGATCATATTTATAGTTCTCCCCCAGTACATTAGTATAATATAATTAGTTAAGTTAAAGGCTATTAGTGGAGCTAAATTGTAGCCGAGTTAAGTGTGCCGGTTACGTAAGCGTCCGCCCGCTGCTTACGTAACGCAAATTAGGAATAGTAATTTTCCCTCACTTTATTGGCTCGATTTTTTTGGTGGTTTTTTTGTGAAGGTACTCTTTTTTTTGAAAACGCTGAATTGTTGTATAGTTTCTATTAGATTGGAATAGAATATAAAGAAGATGTTGTCTAAAGTTGGCTTGAATCTCAGCAGAGCAGCATGCCGCTCGAGTATATGCATGAATATGGCTAGAAGCGTTACTACCAAGACTCATATTACTGACCATGCCACTGGAGAAGTTATCAAATTAACCGATCCATCGCTTCCTCAAATGGCAGATTACCCTAACCCTGTTCCCAAGTTGGCTCAAGATAGGGATCCTTACGGCAAATACGACGATCCTCAAAATAGAAGAAATTTGAATGAACCTCTTAATTTTAATGATGATTTATACGATATGTGGTCTCCAGATTACTACCAACCGGTTTCAGATAAATCTGCTTTGAAAGCAAACGGGATCTTTTTCGGTTCGGTTGTTGCTTTTGGTCTTGCTATATGGTATTTCCAATTGAATCCTGAAAAACCAGCCATGCCTAGATCCTTCCCTTATAATGGTTTGGCTAAGACTTTGGGTTCGGGTAGTGAAGAAGACGCAAAAGTCTACCGTGTCAAGCCAGATACCACTGCTGAACAAGAATTGGGTGTCTTGGGTGCTAATGACGAAATCAAAAAGCAACAAGAGGCTTACTTGCAAGCTAACTCTGATTTCATCAAAGCTTAACTCCTTGAAAAGAATTATATCCCCTTTGTACATTACAACCACTTTGCAAAAGTAGCATCCATTGCCACTCCTTTGCAAAACCTTTACTTTAGCAGAGGCTCCATCAATATAAAATAATCAAAAAAAAAAAATGAATAAAAAAAAATTGAAAAAAAGTCAACATCAAAAAATCAAAAAATGGGCCTTTTAAAAGTATTACTCTAGCATTATTTATTGGTTCTTTCATCACCTCTTCTACACTCCGTTCTACTTCTATATATTTATTAATTCATAACATCTATTCTTATATGTCAATTGTAGATGCTTGCAGTGTCGCTCACAAAAGAAAAACATTTTTTAATAAACAAAAAAGGGAAATAGCGAACGAAAGTTTTTTCTCTCCCTGTTTTTTCTTCAAAAGTCACCATAAAATCCAATTACCATCGGAAGCGCTCATAGAAAACAACCCTTGAATATCGACTCAGTATACACTGTACACGGCGAATCTTGTATTGGAATCATTATCATTCGATTCCTTGTATCTCTATTAACAAGAAAGGAACATGGCGAAAAGTGGTGGTAGCCGTGGGAATGGATCTTTGGCGGTTAAAAAGGAAGCATCAAATCTGGTTTTACCTCAGAAACGTAATGGAAGAGCAACTTCCTCTTCTTCTAATAAAAAGCTTAAGATCAATGGTAACCATAAAGACGGATTGCCAGAGCACGAAGAAAGACTTGCCCGCGCCATAGCCGATTTCAATCTATCGGTTAATGAACTATTTCAATTAAAAGAATATCTGTCTATAATAAGTTGGAATCCCAGTGATTTTTCAAAATGCCTGAATACAAGATCGCAATTACCTGAAAATTATAACTTTTTCATTTCAGATAATGACTATCTTTTAAAATGGTCAAATGAAGATGAAGACTTGGATAGTCTACCTTTAAGATTACAGAAAAAAGTCATTGCTGAAAGAGAAGCAAAAATATTGGAAAAATATCCTTTGAAAGACCAAGTAGTCAACAGAAGTATTGAAATTGAAAAGCAAATATTGAATAGCTTAAATGATCATGAGTCGTCCGAGAGTGAAGAGGTTGAAGTTAAAGAACCATCGCGTCCGCAAAGAAGGAAGCCAGGACCCAAACCCAAACAAAAGTTGGAGCCAATTGAAGCAGATGATGACAACGAAAGCGAAGAGCATTCTGAAGAAGATGGGGAGGATGAGGAGGATGAGGAGGATGAGGAGGAACAGCCCAGAAGCAGACGTGGGAATTATAGGGCCCCTTCACGCTCTATCAGAGGTAAGCGTGCTAAAATTACTTCTCCGGTAAGTCGAAGAAGGGGATCATATCGCAAGTCAAAGAAAGAGGCGGCAGAACACGAAATTGACAATGAAAGTGAACTGTCTGAAGAAGACCCAGGAACTAATTATAAAGTTACATTCAAGTATAGCATACCGCCTCAAAAAATAACTCATCCATCCCATATCCCTTCTTGGTCCCCCGACCAGTCACAGGAAAATACCATTAATGAAGAAACATTGCATGCTCATGAAAATGATCTAATAACCGACCCTATCGATGAAAAACAAAATAAGATTATTGATTTCCATCCTAAGCCAATACAAGTAATTGCCAAACCTCCTGATTCGATATCTGCTCCGGAAGTAGAAGATCGTATTGCAAATTTTTTAAATAATAATTATAGATTTGCCATCATCGATGAAGCTAATACTCTTGATTATAATAACACTCCAGAGGAATACGAAAGAATAATGGATCAACAAAAGCACTTGTTGAAACGCTTGTATGAAAAGGTAATGGTTGAACAACGGTTTGAATTAAATGGTGATAAGATTGAAAGACGTAAAACAGTAATTCCTCATACGTCTAATACGAGACTCATCCAGGATCCATTTCGTGAAACTGGTACCCTTTCACCACGGATTCAAGGTGCCGCCAATAACCTTACGCACAATGATTATTTAATCAATCAAGGTATGGCTTTTTCAGGAATTCATCAACAAATTCGTAAACAACATCAATTAAGAACCAGAAAAGTGGCTCAAATGATTGAACAGCACTTCAAAAAGAAGAAAGGTGAAAAGGATCGCTTGATTCGTGAACGTGAACAAAATTTGAAAAAAATTAGTAGAATCGCTATTCAAGCGGTTAAAAAAAGATGGGGACAAGCTCAAAAAGTATATCGTTATCTCCAATTACAAAAAGAAGAAGAATTGAAAAAAATCAAAGGAAGAGAACATTTAAGTCAGATGTTAGAGCATTCAACTCAATTGTTAGAAGCTCAATTACATAAATCAGCTTCCAAGGAAAATTCCCAAAGCCCTCAAATTGAGAATAGCGACAATGAAGAAGGAAATTCGGATTCCAGTGATAATATGAGCTCGTCCTCTTCCAGTGACGAATCAAATGTTGATGAAAAAAGTGATCTTTCTGGAAAGGAAGACATAAATTTAACGATTGAAGAATTAAAGAAGAAATATGCTAACTTAGAATCTTCTGTTGGTCCTTCATCTTCTGCTGCAGAAGATTCGAGTGATGACAGAAACCTCAATGGTGTTCAAAACGGACGCACTTCAGACGACCACTACTCAGATGGTGACAGCGATGATGGTAGCAGTGTCGATGAAAATGCAGGACTTTCTGCTATCTACGGTAAAGACCTTATAACCAAAGAGGCTACCCCCCTGGATAGTATCTTGGAATTCACGGATGAACAAAAGAAGCGAATCGAAGAACTAAACAGAGAAGAAGGAACTAATCCAGTATTGGACTCGGATTCTGCATCTGATTCGGGTTCAGAATCCGATATTGAATCTGAAGACCAAGATGCTGGCAGTAATTCTGACATATCTGAGTCGGAAGAAAATAGTAAATCTGGTTTAGCCTCTTTGGTTAGAAATGGTGCAATAGACAGTGATGAAGATGCTGATATGAGTTCAGCTGATCTAAATGAAGCAAGTGAAGAAGACGAACATATGACAACCACCGATGAAGAGGATGAACCAACAACTCCAAAATCGCATTCTCCTTTGCCAGTTGAAAAGGAGCCAGAATCAGAGGCCGCCGAGGAAGAAATAAATGGTACCAGAGTTAAAGATGTTCCGGTGCCCTCACTTCTTCGTGGTACTTTAAGACCGTACCAAAAACAAGGTTTGAATTGGTTAGCAAGTCTTTATAATAATAACACTAATGGTATCTTGGCTGATGAGATGGGTTTGGGTAAAACGATCCAAACAATATCTTTATTGGCGTACTTAGCATGTGAACATCATATCTGGGGACCTCATCTAATTGTTGTTCCAACGTCGGTTATGCTTAATTGGGAAATGGAGTTCAAAAAATTTGCTCCTGGTTTCAAAGTTTTAACTTACTATGGATCACCTCAACAGAGAGCTCAAAAAAGAAAAGGATGGAATAAACCAGATGCCTTTCACATTTGCATTACGTCATATCAACTAGTTGTTCACGACCATCAATCATTCAAAAGACGTAAATGGAGATACATGATTTTGGATGAAGCTCATAATATCAAAAATTTCAGATCTACTCGTTGGAGAGCACTTTTGAACTTCAATACGGAAAATAGATTGTTGTTGACGGGTACTCCATTGCAAAATAACTTGATGGAATTGTGGTCTCTATTATATTTTTTAATGCCTTCCTCAAAAGTGAGTCAAGCCATGCCGGATGGTTTTGCCAATCTTGAAGATTTTCAAACTTGGTTTGGTAGACCTGTGGATAAAATTTTAGAACAAACCTCAGCTGGAGGTGGTGATGTTATCGATGATGCAAGTTCAACATCTAAAATGGACCTTGAAACGAAAAATACTGTTTCAAGATTGCATCAGGTTTTGAGACCTTACTTGCTTCGTCGTTTGAAGAAAGATGTTGAACAACAAATGCCGGGCAAATATGAACATATTGTGTACTGCCGTTTGTCAAAAAGACAAAGATATCTTTATGATGATTTCATGTCGAGAGCAAAGACCAAGGAAACATTGGCGTCAGGTAATTTTTTATCCATTATTAATTGTTTAATGCAATTAAGAAAGGTCTGTAATCATCCTGATTTATTTGAAGTAAGGCCTATTGTCACTTCTTTTGCTATGCCTACCTCTGCTGTTACATCATACGGCTCAAATGAAACGTTGGTCCGAAAGTTATTAGCTGGTAAGGATTATGAATCAAAAGTTTCGTTAGAGACTCTCAACTTGGATGTTTCACATAAGGACCATATAAACTATTTTGTTTCTCAGTCTACTAATAAATTGAAAGCCTCTAGTAGTTTTGAGAAACAGATTGAAGAATTAGACAAGTTGCTTCTTCCAGGAGATTTCTCGAAAAAGCCCGATCTTGATAATTATCTTGAATATTATAAATTTATAAAGGCGGATAACCAAAATGAAGTTCGAAGTAAGTTAAATCACATATTATATCTTAACACCCTTCGTTGCGACCGTGGGCCTTTGTATGGGGAAAGGTTAATAGGCATGTTGCAACAAGCTTCCTTGAAAAAAGATCGAGTCGCAGACCTTCCACCCGGATTAATTTTGAATCTTGATGAAAGAATTGAGCGTTTATCGGATACGATTGATAAATACTCCATATTAACTCCTACAGCTGTTGCGTTGGATATGAAAGATCAGTTGATCCCGGTCTCTACACAGTATCGAATCATGGAGGAAGTTTCAAATCACAAAATTGATAATCCATTTCATAAATCACAAGTCAAACTCTCAATTGCATTCCCAGATAAGTCTTTGTTACAATACGATTGTGGGAAGTTACAGAAGCTTGCATCTCTATTACAGGACTTGACCTCTAAAGGTCATAGGGCTTTGATTTTCACTCAAATGACTAAAGTCTTGGATATCTTGGAACAATTTTTGAATATTCACGGTTATAGATATATGAGATTAGATGGTGCAACTAAAATTGAAGACAGACAATTACTTACAGAGAAGTTCAACAGAGATAACAAAATCCCAGTATTTATATTATCTACAAGATCTGGTGGTTTAGGTATCAACTTGACAGGGGCTGACACTGTCATTTTTTACGATTCTGATTGGAATCCTGCAATGGATAAGCAATGTCAAGATCGTTGTCATAGAATTGGTCAAAGCAGAGATGTTCACATCTACAGATTTGTTTCTGAATATACAATTGAATCAAATATCTTAAGAAAGGCCAACCAAAAGAGACAATTGGACAATGTTGTTATTCAAGAAGGTGAATTCACAACGGATTATTTTGGTAAGTTTTCTGTGAAAGACCTTGTCAATGATACAGAGATAGTTGGGGATCTTCCTGATAAACCAATTGCTGAAAATTCAAATATGGAATCTTTGGCTCAAGCTGAAGACGAAGAGGATAGAGCTGCTGCTAACCTAGCAATGAAGGAAGTCCAAGTTGATGATGAAGATTTCGAAGAAGAAAACAAAGCACCTACTGCTGAAGGCTCAACTTCTCAAACCCCGAGAAATGAAGGTACACCAACACCCGTTAACAATGGGCCTAAGGAAAACATTGAAGATGCCGATTATGAAGAAGGGGTTGGTCATATCGATGAATACATGTTGAGGTTTATTGCGGATGGCTATTATTGGGATTAATCCACCCAAAGACAGTAAAAGCATTTTTGTATATATATATGTATGTGTTAGGTTTAATTTTAAGTGTATAATTATTGGGTATTATAAGTTTTCTTGCAAATTCAACGATGATATTTGGCTGTAAAAATTATTGTTATACCTTTTGATATTGAAAAGGCATGGTCGTGTGTGTTGATAAATTTGGGTATCGGAATTTTCCTCGTTCTTTTTTTTTCATTACCTGAGAAAGCGAGTGATACAAGATTGAGTTTTAACAGTTGAAATTACCAATCTTAAGGGATACTTCATCAAAAGAGTAATCAATAGAAAATGTCATCTGGAATTCAATCATTATTGAAAACTGAAAAGGAAGCTGCTGAAATTGTCAACGAAGCAAGAAAATATAGAACCAATCGTTTGAAGTCTGCCAAAACCGACGCTCAACAAGAAATTGATGAATACAAGAAACAGAAAGAAGCAGAATTGAAAAAATATGAAGAAGAACACGCTGGATTGAATGAGTCTATTGACAAAGAAGCTGATGCTCAGGTCGAAAAAGAATTGAAGGCTATAAGAGCTAAGTACGACGAAAAGAAGGATTCAGTTGTCAAATTATTAGTTGATGCTACCACCAAGCCAACTCCTGAATTACATGTTAATGCTAATTAATAAGCATTTTAGTAGGCTTGTTCTAGTTTCATGAAATAAAACACCATCTTCATTCAATTCATTAAAACACTTTTTCAACACTATTTCAATTCGTTTTTATTTTTAGATTATCCACTTTAATACATGGTTTTCTTATCTTGTATGTATATTCAATTTGTAATGCGATTTAAAGGATTTTTACAAAAGGATAGTATTATATTTACAAGTATCTATATATTGTAAAAACAAGAAAATCATTCGAATGATGCTAAGCACCTCCACTAGCTAATTTTTTGAATGATTTGACGATTTCCCATACTCTGTTATCATAACCAGCCTTGTTCAAACTATGCACGAAGTTCCAAGCTTGCTTATCATTAGGAATTGGGTAATCAAGAGGTGGAGGAATAGCAGTTGCTATCCCTAAAGCTCTTAATAATGGTTTATCCATGACTACTGATTTAGCATTACATAACCCAGTGAGACCTTCTTCACCGCCAAATTTACCATAACCTGATTTCTTGACCCCACCAAAGGGTAATTGAGCAACATAAAAGGTAGCAAAATCATTAATCGCAACACTTCCACTTTCTAATCTATTGGCTATTTCATTACAAGTTTTGAAATCTTTACCAAAGATTGAATTACCCAATCCAAATTCGGTACCATTTGAAATTTCAACGGCTTCATCGATAGAATTTGCTTTAATCATGGTCAAAACGGGTCCAAACACTTCGTTACAAGAAATATCCATTTCAGGTGTAACATCGACTAATAAAGTCGGTTCAAAATAATGACCTTGAGGATAATTCGGGTGTTGGTATCGTTTACCACCACTAACAAGACGGGCACCTTTTGCAACCGCATCTTGAATAAAGTTTTCCAATTGGGAAAACCTATTATCAGAAATCATAGCACCCATATCGATTTCATCCAACTGATCTATGTTGGATCCAACACGTAAATCCTTTATTCTCTTGCTTAAAATATCAACAAGAGCCTCATATGCTTTAGGTAAGCAAATCACTCTTTCAATACCAATACAATTTTGACCAGCACTTTGAAAAGTCCCTCTCATAATAACAGACGATAATGCATTGAAGTCAGCAACATCATCTAATACAATTACCGAATCTTTACCTCCTAGTTCAACGACGCAAGGAGTCAATTGTTTTGCAGCATTTTCAACAACTTTATGAGCAACTGGTTTGGATCCAATAAAAGTTATATGATTGAGATCCGGATGAGAAGTGAAATAATCAGCATCATTAGGGAAACAGTAGACCAATTGAATCAAATCTTCATCGATATCTAACAGCTTCAAAATGGCTTTAACCAAGTCAACAAACCAAATAGAAGACCAAACAACTTGTTCTGAACATTTCACAACAATCGCATTACCCGTGAAAATTGCAGCAATGATAGGACCAAGAAGATTATGAAAAGGATAGTTCCAAGAAACCAAAGCTGCAACAACACCCAATGGCTCATATCTAACTTCACCGGATTTCATTAAACCTATAATCAAATTGGATGGGCCAGGTCTTGTTGAAGGACGTAAAGTTCTTTCACCATGGGCAATGATCCAATTCAATTTTTCTAAAGTCACCATAATTTCACCCATTGAGGCATCTAATTTTGTTTTACCACTATCACGGCACGCAACCCTTGCGATATCTTCTTGGTGATCAATGATAAATCTACTCAATGTCTGTAAAACTTGTCTTCTTAACAGAAATGAAGAATGGGCCCAACTTTTTTGTGCAGCTTTAGCACGTTGAATCCTAAGATTCATTTCATCTTTAGAAGTGGTGGCGAATGTACCTAAGTACTGTCCAGTTGCAGGACAGTAGCTTTGGATTTTATTAGGTTCATTAGGAACTTGAATACCAAGGTTTGGTGGATAGAGTCTTTTCCCTTTCCAATGTGGTTTTGCCTCATCGGGGATTGGAAACTTGAACTTGACTGGAGCTTCAAGCTTATTGTATCTATTAGGACTCTTCGATATGTATTTAGCATAAATGTAATATAAAGCAGGTAAAATCACAAATATGAAAAAAGTAGTGGAGATTTGATACTGCCATTGCAAATGTTCAAACTTAAGATCAATAGCTATCATTGTAAATGGAAAGTTCTTCAATTACAACTTAAAGGTGATAACGTCTCTCTCAACCAGAGTTTCAAAGCTCGAAAGAAAAATTGCCTTATTCCAATATGCTTTCAGAGCAGTCTTTTGTCTCAACGATTTGATTCGTTTTTTTTTTTTAACAGGCTTGTGCGTGTTTCTTCATTCTCTCGTATATAAAATTTGGCTGCTACAAAATCTCGACTGATTTCAGAATAACTAAAGAGTTTACTATTTAACTTATATACCGTGATATGAAATAGCGTTAGTCCAAGTCTTCGTTTCGGATATCATCGTTGACTTGCTCATCGACCATTTGGCCTTCTATGTTATTCAAAATATCCTCAAACGAATTACCAGTCCTTTCTTGGACAATTGCTCCTAGAAGGTTCTGGTCTACGTAGTCTAGCATCGAGTCAGTTACCTGGTGACCTTCACGGATTAAAAAATGGTTAAGTCTTGTAGAATTAGGGTCTCTTGGGGGAAGAACGTCGTATTCAAATACATCGTCTCGGGAGAAAATAGCTTCAGGAAGTTTAGCCATAATTTTGTTTTCACCTGAAAGAATGGCGAATCTTATTAAGTTAAATGGGATTTCACCATCTCCATCTTCTGGTTTGGAGGATCCAGTAAAGTATTGGAAAATAGATTGAGAGAAAGATGTTGTATTTTTCTCGAATGGTTGAGATTTGAATAAGGCTAGCAACTCATCATGTAAGAAATTTCTTTCCTCTTGTTCTTTCCATAGGAGAGGAGCTCTAACGAGGTACGTTTCAGATGCAATAAGAATTTCAGGAGTTGTTGGCAATTCATGCTCTTTAACTGGTAATGATTGTGATAATCCTATGGCTTCTAATAACTTATAAGCAGCATATGGATGTTGAGAATATGCTGAAATCAATGCTTTTCGAGCACCCTCTTTATCATTTAAGCGTAAAAATGCCAAAACAGTAGAGAATGCAATACCTGGAGTATTCCATTTAGAGTATGTAGTAGATAATGGGGATTCGGAAAACTGAATTAGATACTTGAATTCTTCAGCCAAAATAGCATAAAAATCAATAAAGTATCTGACTCCCAAAGGATCTTCTGATGGAGATAAAGATAATAAGAATTTACAATAGTTGAGAGCTGTGAAAAACATGGAACGTTCACCCAAGTTAATAATGTATCTGAATAAACCAAGATAAAATTGTCTATTGACAAATCCTTCATAAGGTAATCTAAGCAAACCATTTTTCCCTTCATAAAGCAACTCATGGAATTTTTTATGGAAACTTCTATCAAATACAAAAAGTCCTTTTTCAACCAAGGAGTTACTAATGGATTTATCCCCGCCTTGTCTAAGCATAACCATTGCAACTTGAAATAATGTTTCTTCATGGTAAGGGTTCTGCTGTAATAATTGCATCAAAGAATCTGGATCAGGAGTTAATACTGCTGCATGGTAAAATCTGGTATTTGCAACTCTATCCTGAATGCTTCTAACTTTATTGAATTTAAAATATTTAACCCCCAACGCTAGTTCTTTTTTCACTTTTATATTCAACTCTTCACGTTCAAAAGAGTCTTCTTTATAATCAAGGATATCCACAATCTGTGACATTTTCAATTCTTCCATGTTCAATGGTTTAGCTGCAGTAGGCAAATAATCATCTTTAATTCTTGATAATAAGAGTTTTCTAGTTGTTCCAGGAACACTACGACGATCTTTCCCGCACCAGCCCCTAGTAAGTCTTGCTAACTTCTTAAACTGGGCAAGAACTTCTGGAGAAGTTGATAAGGCAGTAGTTTGATTAGCGTCCTCGATAGTATCTTTTGATAAGTTACCAAACAAATTGCTCAATTCTTGGTCGGGATCTAGGTTCTTGATCGATTGGATTGATAGTAACCTTAAGGATTGTTTCAATCTGTTAGAAGTGAATCTTTTGAAGTTAGAATCAAAATGAGGACTTGGTTTTATATCTTCATCAAATTCTTCTTCAACATCATATTCGAAATCGTATGATTCAAGTTGAGGAGTTGCGCTTGAAGAGGTATTTTCCGACGAGTCCCCAGACTTATCCTTCAATTTAACTTCTGCCAATATTTTATCCAACTCTTCGTCACTATCTATATCGGCACTGGTTTCTTTCTCTTGGTTATTCTTTTTCTGTTGTTTCTTCTTTGATTTACTCTTTTTCTTGGATTTTTTAGATGGTAACGAAACTGGTTCCGGTTTGGGTTCTGGTGGCGATACTGTTTCTGGAGCATCTTCATTCCCGGAATCAGTCTCTTCGTCTTGTTCATTCAATAGACTGAATGCATTGAAAGCTGGTTGCTTTGAATCTTGATAATCATTTTCTGAGTCTTCTCCACTGTTCTGTGCTCTTTCTTGCTCATTTCTTTCGGCTTCTTCTTGAATTCTTTGCTGCTCTAGCCTTCTAAGTGCTCTTGAACTCATTCTGACTCATATATCGTGATAAAGATGCTCCAACTATGATTCCTTGGAAAATTAAATCAAACCAGACGAAAATTTTTGATAGTCAGTAGAATCGCGAGTACTGCATAATTTTATTGGTTCTGTTCGGTTTTGGGTCTTTTCCTTTTTCTGTGGATGCAAAATAATTTTAGACTGCAAATACCAAAGAGTTTTGGTTTATTATGCTATACTTGCCATGATAAAAAACAGTCCGAAAGGAAATAGTATTAAGGTAAACTCTCCTTATTTCGGCCTGCTCGAAAGCTCCTCGATTGACAGTTTTGCAAAAGATTCAGGCAGCTTGAAGAATTTCTATAATGGGCTACCAGGTAATCTAAACCTAGATATTGAACAGTTCACCACGGCCAGACTGATTACAACTGGAGAGCTACGATTAGTAGCTCCTACGCCTTCTCCAAAAATCAGCACGGGCTCTCCCTCAAAAATCAGTACAGGCTCTCTTTCAAGAGAGGGAAGAGATTTGCCTATAGTAAAAGGACATAAACTTGCATTGCTTCAAAAATCCCATTCTGGATTGAATTCTATTGAATCTGATCTTTCATTAAAATACATGGTCTACCAAACACAAGTGGAGTCGAATTATACAAAAGAATTACAGTATCAACTGGTTGAGAATCATGATGGGGAAATGCAGAAAACTTCTGCAAAACAAGATATGGATTCAGGAGAAATTGATAAAGGCTTGCTACTTGCGGCTAAAAAGGTTGGATATCATCAACTGGACTCGGTACAAAGTTTGTATGATATCATTAAAGAGAATCCTCTTGCACTCCCCACAACAACGATGACTACTAAAATAAGTCCTCTACTGCCAGTTCTTATTGACCAACACCCGTCGGCAAATATATCAGCACTACTCACCACTTCTGATTTCAAATCACCAGTACCGAATACAAAGTATAACAATACACTGCCATTAAACGAATTTCTAAACTCCAAAGTTGGAAAACTTTTAGAAGAACTATTCGAAAGCGAAATCACTTACGTTTCATCTTTGAATATATTAATTACCTATTATGTCCAACCACTTTTAATAGCCCAGCCATACGATTGTGGAGTGCCAATCATTTTCATATCACAAGTCATTGAGTCATTAATAAGAAACCACACAGAGCTAGTTCGTTGTTTCCGACTGGATTTTTATTCAGAAAATTCAGTGATTAAATTCGTTAGTTCCGTTGAATCGCTTGCCATTGACGTTCATTTATATAAAGACTATTGTGATTTATATGAGGATGTTTTGAAAATAATGAATTCTATCAAATTCATAGGACAGAATTATGTTAACAAAGAATATATTAATGGATGGCAAAACTATTTGGAAGCTACTCAGCCAATCTCCAAGCACATGGATCTTTCCTTTGTATCATTAATACAACGCCCTATTTCTAGGGTAAGTAAATATCGATTGATTATTGAAACAATTATAAAGCAAGTTCAGAGTCATAAAATCAGCTTCTTACAGGACACTGAAGAAAAAGAATATTTGGAAAGCTTTTTAGAAATAAATGAAAAGATTAAGTTCAAGCTTAATCAGATTAATGAAAATTCTGAAAAGATTGATGTGAAAAGCGTTGGAGATAAGATCAATTCATTTTTAAATTTTGAAAAATTCAAATCTTTATTTGGATTTGAATTAAATCTGCAAATTTTTGGTAAAGCTTTGCTTTGTGGAGTTTCAATTGTGGTCTGGCTACTGTCAACTGGTACTGGAGTTGATAAGAAAGTTCAGGGCCAGAATATGGGGGTTTTCTTATTCAAGAGTCATTTAATAATTAGTGAAATAATCTTTAGAAAGAAGTTTAAAAAATACGAAATCAAGTTTATAATACCTTTATCGAAATGTCAACTATTCAGTGAATTGAAAGAGTCTGACGGTGGATTAACATCAGACTATCAATATTCATTGAAAATCATTTATGAGCAAGAATATTGTCAGTTTGAGGTTTTAATTGTATTATTTACAAAGAAAGAATATATGATTTGGAAAGATCATTTGGAAACCATGATTAATTTTGTTAATGGGGATTACAATCTTGATTATTCCCAAACTTTTGCTCCTTTAATTCTGTATAGTCCAGTTGAAATTATACCTTATGATATATATTTAGATCATAAGCCAACATATTATAAGTATCGATTGGCCTGCTATTTCAAAAAACCAATCTCTATAAATGTTATGTTTGATTTACGCAATACTGATTTGGAAGAGATATCAAGTTTTGCTGGATACGTTAACAAATTGAACTATTTTCAAAAAAATGGCGATGAAAAACTTACAATTTATATAAGAAAGAGTGAAAGATCAATTGGCGAACGGAAAATGCTGGGACTTATAAGTAAAGAACTAATTGGTGTACTCAAGGACAACAGGACCCTGGAGAAAAAGGGAAAGTTGAAGAAAAGTTTGAGTTGGAGCAGTTTAAAATTCAGTAGGTCAATTTTTCACAACCAAACTTCGCCAAACCCACTTACTGGACAAGATGATAAGACCCCATCCTTGAGTGCTGTAACAATTGACGAACTACAATTTTCATTTAAATCTACTGGCCTTGCAGGCGTATCACCATCAATTTCTCGTTCCAATACTGATAGCCAAGTTGGCTCCAGTTCCAGACAGTACTGAGTCTCAATATATCTACAGAATAATAATCGATTAATAAACGTAACGTGTATGTATAAAAGGAGTTTGGTTTATATGCTTAGTGAATGTAATATAAATTTCGTAAGATTCATTAAAACTAAATACTTTTGAGCAATTGGCACCATTTAATGAGCAACTTCACCAGCTCCCATGGAATCATTCTTACCATTTTCACCGGAATGGAAAGATCCAGCACTCTTCTTGTCGGTACCTTCTACCAAAATCTTCTTAATAATGGCGTCAACGTCAGAACTACCAAATTCATTTGCTAATTCAGATTTGGATGCTTCATCCAAGACACCTTCAACACCACCTTGTCTGTTGATAAACACTTTGTAAATAGAAACAATGTCTATTAAAGGAATGGTGGTATCACCACCTTTGTATTTTTGAACCAAATTGGAGTCTTCAATGAATACAACAAAGTCGTAAGCAGAACCTTTCCAAAATAATTTATGAGGTTGGGCCATTGTGAATTGAATTAACTAGTAGTAATATCAAGTATCTAAGTAAGTAGTTAACTAATAAGTTATTGTTACTAAGCTAAAACTTCGATATTTAATTGGGGTAATTATCACCCTATTTATAACCCTGAGAAGAGCAACCTAATTAAAGAGAAAAACGAAAATTGTTCCACTTAAACCAAAAGAACCTTCGAGATTAGAATCTGTATAATAACAATAAACATCATACCTACATTTTGTCCCCTGGTTATTCTATACTGCAAGGTTTGGCAGTTCCTTTCATAGTTGCTCTTTCTAATCGATTTTATTGCTGCAAAGCGTGATGTCTGTATTCGACGAAAAAAAAAACGAAAAGTATGCGCAAAAGCCAAAACCTATTGAGTTGCGGTTGCTGGAACAAGCAAATAGCTGTTGACAAAGTACTTATGAGATCATAGTAGTATACTGTGTTCGGTATACGGTGAAATCAGGGAAAATAGGTTACGTATGACTTTAGCTATGGTCATAAGACCGTTTTGTACTAACAGTGAACGTCACCGTTAGCTCTTGTTAGCTACTTGCTATGGCCCGGTACCATGCCCAAACTAGTCCTACTCACTTGATTGACTTCTTGAATTTGCTTGTTAAAATGGCTGTTAGATTGTTCTTGCTTTTCTAAAAAAATGGATGAAAGAGGCTGCAATGATTGCAAAAAATGAAAAAAAAAAAGAAATCTCCCGGGGGTGAGTCGAACACCCGATCTCAAGATTACTTTGAGGAGAACCCATTACAGTCTCGCGCCTTAGCCAGCTTGGCCACCGGGAGTGATTTCTGACCGATTTTGAACCTGTGTTTTTGAGCTGATCAAGATTTTGAAGGCGTTTATTTTGCACTGCCTAAAAAACTTTAAAAAAAAAAAAAAAAAACTTTTGAGAAATAGCATAAATCACGGTCTTTTTAATCTTGATTTTGCCATTTTATTTCCACTGGTGATAAATAAAATGGTTTTTTGTGCAGAAGTGTGAATTTTTCCGCAGAATTTTTTTTGCTGCAAAACAAATTCCCGAGGAATCCTTGTCAGACCGTGAAGGTCTGGCGGTGATGACTGGGCCAGATTTACATCAAGGCAGATCACAGACATCATCAAGCTGAGGTTTAAGCAAAAGAAGTTACAAACATCCTTTGTGAAACAACATCGGAAGAGAGCATCTTTTACGAGAACAAGTATATAAATAAGTAGGCATTTCCTCATCTGATGGAAATGCCTAGAAGACTGTTTGTGGTGTGGACCTTCGTGGCTAATCCTATAGGTTAATGGAATGAAGAGTGGATCGATGCCCTGCAGGGAGTTTTCATTCGGTAATGACAATAATAACATAATATTCTTTGATGATATTTAAGCCCAACCTTACCCCATGCATATTATTTATTTTGAAATAATTTCAGCATTATTATATACGTTTTATTGATCTTTCTTTCTGACACTGATTGCTTTATAACCGTATCTAAACAATAGTCATAAGATTTGTTATAGTTAGGCAAACTTTCGGATTGATCTATTTTGGTAATTAACTCTGAAACTGATAGTAAATCTATATCATTCTCAAGATCTTTAATTACTACTATAGGTTTTTCATACGGTACAAACAGAATGCCCCAATTATAACAAGGCATTGCAGAATTTCTATAGCCGACTCCCACGTAAGGAGGTAACATATTAAGTTACTATCACTATATGATGTAATATTCCTATCTATTAATCTGTAATCAATGTAATTAACGGAACAAGAAGCATAAACTATCTCGTGCAAATAACATGAAGTTATAAGTGAGATATAAAAATATTTTGAAATTAATTTCATAGTTAAAAATATCAGCAAGTTAGGATCGATTAAAGCGGCGCTACCAAATGAAAGGAATTGGTATCCGGGTCTGCACGAAGAGAATAAGGTTGCAAAACTTGACAGAGAATAAAACAATATATTTGAGATCAGAGAATATTATAACACTAGCTTGAAGAACTATAAAAAGAGAAAGGGAATCGGGAGGATTCTATGGATATTTATATTCTTTTCTATCCTGAGGTTTATGACTTTTTGGACGCCTTATCAGTTATCTTATCGTCCCCCCTTAGCAGTCGCCCTATCGGTTGATATCTGGAGACCTTTCAACCGATTTTGAACCTGGTATTTATTCAGTTTATTCAAAGGTTTTCTAGTAGCCTTCATTGTTAGATTAATGGAAGCCTCGTAGGTCACCTGTTACTAACAATAGATACACTATCTCGTACAGAGAGCTTCAATAAACATTGATAGACCTCGATGTATCATACATAAATTCCCATATACCCATAAGTATGAATTTTTTGGTAAAAAGATGTCTGCCATGTTTTAAATTATCGTATGAATAACATTTTCTTTAATTTTTGCAATCTTTCAACAAAATTCAGTTTTTTCAAAAAAACAAAACAAAAACTATTTTTTTGAAAAAATCAAAATAGAATTCATAATATTTTTCCAAGCTAACTATCGGGTTATGTGGGTTGATCGAGCCCATAATCAACCACCAGTATCCATTAGTATTAGATACATAGTTCTAGTACGGTTGACCATAACACACGCATAAGTAGCATTAGTCAAATACATACTAATACTTGGTAGCACAGTGGATTAATTCGATACTGTCAGATTAATCTTTTCACGTTATTCAAAGGGAGGAAATAAC